CTGGAGACGGTCATTTGTTGCGGCGATCGAAACGTCGTGATCTATAATTTTTTCTACCGACGTGACTTTACCGAAAAAACCAAAGAGTATGGATTCCTGCAGTCACGAAAGCTTCAAATCAAGAGTGAAGCGGCGGTCCTTAGAGAGCCACCACGGCATGCGGTTCCAGGGCCGCATGGTGGACGACCCCTGACCCACACCGCATGGGGGTGGCAAGACAACTCCGGGGCGTTACCAAAAACGATCTGGCGATCTTCTTGGTTCTTTCGTTAAAGTCACGGGAAATAATAAAATAATAAAACATAATAAAATAATTCTCACGACGTTTCGGCCACAACTCAAGCAGCCGTCCTCATTCTTCACCTGAGGACGGCTGCTTGCGTTGTGGCCGAAACGTCGTGAGAATTATTTTATGTTTTATTTGTATTATTTCCCTTCTACGTGACTTTACCGAAAGAACCAAGAAGATGAATCCCTGCAGTCACGAAGGCTTTAATTGATCTCGCGATCGTTTTTGGGGTCTCCCCCCCCGCCCCCACAACGAGAATATATTTCGTCAAAAGCAACTCGAGCAACGAAATCTGGCGGCTTCTGCTTCGGAAAACTGCCATGCAGATTCAGGAAGCGACTGCGCTGAGGATCCGGAATCGGCTTGAAAGGCAAAAGCGCAGCCCTGCAAATTGCTTGCACGCACCACTGATGGTGGAAGGGCGTCCGCTCGAGGAAGCGATAGAAAGAAACCCCCTCCCGAGGGGATGCATTTGGCCTGCTCTTCCATTCCGGTGCAGACGCCTTTTAAAGAGGTGGGCGTACCCACACTTTACCCCGCTGCACGCGGTCACATGGCACAAATAAGTGTCAAGGCAGAACACAACGGAGGGTGGAGGTCCCACCTGCAATGGGGAAAGCGGACGATGAAAATGAGAGACACCTACAGACACGCAGGGTGCCAATCACCGTGAGTGCGGCCGGCTTTATATAAATAGTGACCGCCCCCCCACCCACCAACAGATAGTGGTGGGTGAATGGAGGAAGACCCCAGCTGGCTCTGCTCGCGATCACCAGCAAGCAGGGAAAGCCTCCAAGCCAGAGGTCGCAAACGGGTTTTGATTTCTTACCCGTACCCGGCCGCACCAGGGTCGCAAACGGGTAGGGTACGGGTAGGGAACGGGTACCCGTACCCGGCCGGGTACGGGTACCCGTTCCCTACCCTACCCGAAATGAGTGACAAACGGTGACTCACCAGTGACTCACGGCCTACCCGTACCCGGCCGCACCAGGGTCGCAAACGGCTACCCATACCCGGCCGGGTACGGGTAGCCGGGTATCGGGTAGGGTGCGGGTATCGGGTACCCGGTTGCGACCTCTGCTCCAAGCGTCCCAGCCTGGACACACCCCGGTGCGGGCAGCAGGGCCGGCGGTGGATCACGGCGAGCGGCGCCTCCAAGTCGGCTTTCTTGTGAACGCCAGCCCAGGCTAAATGTGCTTTAAGGGCGTTGTGCGTCTGTCTGTGTGTGCGTTCGGTAGTGTAGCGGTAAGAGCGCTGCGCTACGAACCGGAGTGTCCCGAGTTCGATTCCCGTTCATGGCCAACACCGCTGACGATTATCTGAACCGGTCCTGGGCCTGACCTAGGTTGACTCAGCCTCACATGAGTACCCGGTGCGATGTGTAAACATCGCCACTGGGGAGACAAAGGCGGCCGGGGGTGGTGTTGTGGCCACCCACTCCCTCGTGTGCCGTGCCGGACTTCATAGGTGCTCGCTAACAGCACTTGCCCCTACAGTCTGTTAAGGCTATACGGGGGATCTTTGTCGGGAACGCGTCGTCTCAGGTGCGGGGAGTGTAAGCGCTAACCGCGTGGTGCAAGATCTACGCTACGGTGTGAACGCAGGCAGGGGGAGCTCGCCTAAACACTGAAGACGAACCAACCCTCTGAAATCGCCTCCGTTTTGATGTCCATTACTCTCATTCAAGACACGAGCGTGACTTGGCTGACCAAAAACTATACTAGTGGCGGCAATAAAGGGTGCGCCTTGCAGTCGGCGAGAACGAAAAGAGCCACACGTAACCTTTAGACCAGTTGTGGTGTGCACATTATTACTGCTGGGTGGGAGATTTAACAACAAAAAAACAACTCGTTACCGTCGTTTTTGCACTGCCGCGCCAGGAGAACTAAATAAAATCGTGTGCCGACCCGCACAAACATCGTCGTTTCATCAGCTCGCTATGTAACAGTCGACTTGTGTTTCCCAGTGACATTTCTGAAGACTTTGGAGGGCCTATCGAGTGACATCTGAGCAACTTTGAGGTTTGTTTCGTGACATTCTCCCACAAAGAGTTGGCGACACTGCCTAATTGTGTGCGTGCGTGTCAGAATCTGAATATTTATTTATACTGGAGGAATCCGATAAGGGATAAAGCTCTTTTTCACAGGTGTCCAGCAGAGATGGGTCGGTGTCCTGTAGGGGCAGGTTACATCGCGGGAGTAAACTCGTCGTTTTCAGCAGTTGCTTGTGCAGCGGTTTCCGAAAATAGTTCTGACCGCCGATGCATCGTTATTCGTGAACGGGCGAAGAGCCAATATAACTCGATGTGCACATCAATAAAATAAACAAATGAAATACCAAACAAGCCCCACTGTACTTCCTTTGCAGTTACAAACAAAGTTTCTCGCGTCTAGTCTGCTACATGTCAGGGTTTGAGACGCTGTCGTGGTGTTAATAGTTGGTGCCCTAGACAAGTCGCTGGGTTGGTTCGACCTCCAGGCGCGGCAGTCAAGACAACAGCACAGGTTTCTGAAATCCTCCACCTCTGCCGCCTCTGCCTTCCCAGCGGGATATTTGGGTTCAACCACAGTTAAGTCGATTGGCAGGCCACGTGTGGTAGAGATAAAGTTAGGGTGTACTCCCTCCTCCTCCTCCTCCGAGACGTCTGGGCAACTTAGGAAGGGTAGATATTCTTAGGTTTTTTCGGTAAAGTCACGTAGGTAAAAAAATAAAATTAATAAAAGTAAAATAAAAATCACGACGTTTCGGAGGCAACACAAGCTTCCGTCTTCAGGAGGAACCGTCACAGCACGATAGCTGTATCAAGTAAAGGCTCAGTCCTAACAGCGTGCTTCAGCCGCACCGAACCTCATAATAATAATATCCAGGGCCTACCTTGGCTCCTCCCACCCTCAACCAGTATATATATACAAATACTGTTTCTTGGAATTTATCTCACTTGATACAGCTATCGTGCTGTGACGGTTCCACCTGAAGACGGAAGCTTGTGTTGCCTCCGAAACGTCGTGATTTTTATTTGACTTTTATTAATTTAAATTTTTTACCTACGTGACTTTACCGAAAAAACCTAAGAATATGAATCCTTGCAGTCACGAAAGCTTCAAATCTACAATTAGGGAGGGTAGGTCAATTACTCCCCAGCCGGAAGGAGCTCTCCAAAGCTCCCCACGGGTGAGAAGCCCGTTATGCCGAGCGGGCGTGAGAGCAGGAAATTGCAGGGCTGCACCTTTCTTCCCGACGGCCGGATGCCAGTGGGCTGGCTGGGCCATTCAGATAAAAACCGCGATCCACGATCGCCGCGGCTCTTAATCCCGAGCCCACAGACCCCAGCCGAGGGGGGGGCGCGTCGACGTTCCACCGAGCGTCGTTCATCCCAGACGCGCTGTTATTTTAGCACCTCTCAAAAAAAAACTTCGAAACGTGGCGAAAGAGCACATCTGCTTTATCGCCGCGTCGCGTCCCGTTGTTTTTCTCGTCGTTGTTGTTGTTGTTGCAACGGACGTGTGTGCTCATTCGTGTTATCGAGCCGTTCAAGGTGCAATCGGAAGAAAAAAAACATCTTTTCAATCACCCAGGCATGGCGAAGAAAGCTACGCGATAGATTTCCACGCCCTCCAGCCAACACAGCTGCACCCAGCCTCCACGAACCAGACACCCGGAATGCACCCCGATCTCGTCAGACCTCAGAAGCTAAGCGGTGCCGAGCCTGGACAGTGTCTGAACGAGCGGTACGGCAAACCCCACGGTTGTACTGCACTTACGTGCTCCCACGCCGATGCGCCCCTTCATTCACGAACCCGCGATGACAAGAGCGGCGAGGTTTGGCCAAATAACGACCCGCACGGTCGTGAGGAAGGCCCCCCTCATCCAGCAGTGGATTGAACCAAGGCCTATACAGTCCGTGTAGAGCTCGAATCACTGCGGGGGAAGGGGCGATGACTCTGTTGACGACTCAGTTGATAACTCAAACACGTGGCCGTCGCAGCAAAACAATCCCGGGTCTGGTGGCTCAGTGGTAGCGGGAGTGGCCAGCGATCGCAAGATTCAATTCGTGGTCAAACTAAACTGTTTTTTTTACTTAACCAGGTAAGACCCACTGAGCTATTTTGCTCTTTTTCAGAAACGTCCTGGCTATCACAAATGATAGCTTGTCGCATGGAAATCGCTAGCGGCCAAACACTCTGAACGCACGTTGATGCTAAATGTGGAGGGATAAACCGGAGGACCCGGAGGGAAATCCACGTGACCACGGGGGAGAACACGCAAATAGATAGCAAATAGACAGCAGCAGGCGTCAGGGTCAGGATCGAACCCACGACCTCCTGCATACCAGGCGAGGGAGTTCACATCTTGCCACCACAGATTTTACATCGCTGGATTAGTGCCACAGAAGTCGCCCGATTTGTTGATGGTAGGGAGTTGGCTCGGCCAATCATCATCTCCGGGAGAGGGGGGGGGGGGTGTATAAAATAAGTTCCACTATGTGGGGAAGTCACCAGTGATTGTTTAACGGGTGAAATCACCCCCTGCTAGAGGAATGTGGAATTTCCACCCACAGGCTCCGGGCTGTGAACAGGGGATGATGCTCATTTGAGGAGGAAGTCACATTCACCTGTATTTTTTTTAGGAGTTAAAAATAACAATAATTCGACAGCCAATTCCATGGAGAGAGAATTACAGCGCAGGACACTGAATGTGATCATCGCAAATCTAATGGAAGCATACTTTGAGATTTTAATGTGTTAGAAATGTTCTCACATAGCATGCGAGTGCAGTAAATAACAACTCATTTAATCAACTTGTCATAACAGGCTTGCATTGTTATAATAATTGCTACCGATTAGTCGCCAACATAAATGAAACCATCATCGTTAATGTATATAACGTATTACATGAGCGCAAAACATCACTTGAAAAAACCTGTATTTTTTTCTGTAAAACATTGTATCTTAAAAAACCCCACTGCAAACGCACTGCCCTTGGTAATTGACGTACCCATGCGAACTCAAACGCAGCGCTGTTCAAAACTGTCTTGAAGAACGCTACTCTTGAGTGGCAAACCCTATAATCGTAATATTCTAGATTTGAAGTTTTCGTGACTGCAAGGATCCATACTTTGGTTCTTTCGGTAAAGTCACGTAGGTGAAATTTAAAAAAAAATTAAAAATAAATAAATTGAATCACGACGTTTCGATTACAACACAAGCAATCGTCATCAGGTGTGACAACCACAGCAATAATTTGTTTTACTTAAGTGCTTACTTCAGTAAAAAAAATGATTGCTTGTGTTGCAATCGAAACGTCGTGATTAAATAAAAAAAATTCACCTAAGTGACTTTACCAAAAGAACCAAAGATCATCGTAATATTCCCAGTGTTCAGGCCCCTAGTTAAACAGCGTCACATGAATCTAAACTATTACACGATGACACTGGCGTCATCTGGTCCAACACCAATGGAGACTAGGCTCTAAGAAAAGCTGTCTCGGGTGTGAACCAATCAACTTCAAGGACAGTGCATATCATTATCGGAGTTGTTTATTTTTGTTTACATTTTGACTGCTTGTGTTGTGGTTATTGCAAACATGATCCCTTGTATAAAGGTGTCAGTTTTTGAACCAGATAAAAGGGTAAAAACCTATTACTACGACTACAATTACACGATGACTTAACAGCAGTACTATTAAATTCGCCTCAATACAAGCAATCAACAGAACCGATATAGTTAAAAACAACCCAAGTCTACAGTCACCCCACAATTCCATGTCACCAATGAAAAAGCGTGAAGCATGCTGTTCTGTGTGATTTTCATTTTAATGAAAAGTTAAATGTGGAAATATTTTACCATAAACGGACCCGCAGTGTGGAGTATATACAATGACCCCGATTTCCTTTTGGGCCACGTGGTAGTAGCCCGACACGATCCTCAGGGCGAGATCGTCGCGTTTACCAAGATGTTGTTCTACACGTTGCCTATGTATCGGTCAAGTTCTGGCCAATTAAACCCTTTCCCGTTCCGATGACGTGTACGTCGTCAGTTTTTATTCCGATTGAAGTAGAACGTGTTGTCTATATTTATTTAAAGTTGCGCATTTTGATGTGACGTCACATTTCTCAAACACCCCCCCCCCCTAGTCACACATCGTCACAAATGTCTGACCCCACCCCCCCCCCCAGGTGCGTGACGTCATTTATGCACGACCCCTTATCCGGCACGGGCCCGTTAAAAATTGCTGGAAAAGTAACACCGACGATTGTGTCGAGCGCTGGGAGATACATGACGAGAAGGGAGTAGATGTTGATGTACGTCATTTGCAAACGGCACAGGGTCCACAGGAGATTGTGAGATTCCAAAGTCAACGTGCCGTGGTTCGGCAAGTAGCCTGGCCAGGATACTTTTGACAGTGCTGCCCCCTCTTGGCTGCGTTGGGTATAAATTCGGTCACTTTGGAAAGCGATGAAACATCTTGGCAATAATAAAGAATGCAATCCACTCCAGCCATTTCAATCCACCAGTGAGTGAATGAAGGCATCCGCACACCAGAAATGGACGTGCGTTTCTAACCACGCTGGTCAGTGCAGGTTGGTGAATGGTTGGGGGTGGGGGTAGGACTGATTCCCAATATCACTCGCCACCGATTTTGGCCGCGGCTGGCAATAGAACTCTGATCGGCAGGTTCGCAGTGCGATATGCTAACCATTGTCACCGCTCCCAAGTGCTCTTTCGGTAAAACACGCTCGCACTTTGTATAGTGGCCGATCGTGTAACCCACCCTCCCTCCAACGCACATCAGTAAAACCGAGTAAAAAAAACCCTTTCCCAATCCGTGTGCGTCATCAGTTTTTCTTCTGATTTCGTTCCGATGACGTACGTGTACATGATCGAAATGGAATAAAAAAGGAAAACTAAAATGAAATAACTTTATCGGTACAGAGGCTCCCACAAGGCCATGCGGGAGGGCCTGTGGGACAGTTTGGCGCCAGCTATCGTAGAGTGGCGGTCGTGTCGCTACGGTTCTCTGCGGTGAGTAAAACGTCTTTAAAATCAATGGCGCTACGCCTGTCTAAATACAATTAACGCCGAACCGCTTGCACGTTCCGAGATTCAGCGATGAACGGGACCCACCCCTGCAACTTGCAGACGTCTCTGAATTGGAAAGGATTCAGATGAATGACCTCTACCTAACAAGTGCAAAGCAAATTGAGAACACATTTGTCACCACATACATAGATGGCAAAAGGCATTACTCTGACCATGATGCCTTGGCATGTCCCGTGACAGCCTGAATAGTGGACATTTTGATCAATCCAAAAACCAGCAGCACAATCGCGAATACCTAGTGTTTGACGGCGCAATTACGGTCCTGCTTGCTGAAACCTTGTATGATTATCTTTACAATCACCTGGCCCCGCTTGTAGGCCGTAAGGAAATTCTTATTCTGTCATCTCGAACAATGCAACACAATTTATAGCCAATATTGATTACAAAATGAAAATACTTCTGCACGATCAGCACAAATCGCATGTTTGCATAGCCCAGTGGGTGGCACGTACTGACCAGGGAGCCAATTTCCAACTGGCGCAGAACAGTACTTGAAGCAAGACTTGGCATATAACAATAATCAGTGCGTCGAGCGTAAATAAAGAATTCACTATCAGCGAAGAACATATTGCGGTGTCAGTCCCCCAGAGGCCCTAATTAACTTGCGTGGGCTACACACCCCATCTCCTACGCTCTGCTGTTTAAGTGCTTCCAAATTTAAAGTTGCTTGCTCATGCAATAATTGAGCGTCTTGCGTCATCCAAAAAGCCGCGGGGGAATTCTGACCGCGGGCTTCCTACCACATGCCTCTGTTGTCACATCGTCGTGTTGCGTTAAAACGCCCCCACCCCCCACATAAAGTTAATTATGCTCGTGTAAAAATAGTAAGAAAAAATTGGATTCATAATTCGAGCCATGAACATTTCCGAATCCCGTATTTGTGTTTCCCCTCTCCGAATTATTCCCGTCTAACTTGCATCGGGAGTTTGAGTCGGTTGCTATTTATGGAGGTGGCTCATTTAACGCCCAACCGCTTGCACGTTCCGAGTATCGGCGATGAACGGGACCCACCCCTGCGACTTGCCGGACGTCTCTGAATCGGAAAAGATTCAGATGATAAACAACGCAGAGGGGGTCTGTGCGAATGATCCCTATCAAGAGCAAAGCAAGTTGAGAACACATTTGTCACCACATACATAGATGGCAAAAGACATTACTCTGATCAAGTGCTACATCACAAACGGTAATAGATCCAGATCATACATAAGCAAGGTGACGCTCTCTCCTGTGTGCTTTCGGGTTCTAAAACATGCAGTCCGACGTGACAACTCACTTCCTAAGCTCTTCAACTCTGTTGCCGGAACGACTGAACTGTCCCTCAAGAAGCTCCCAGCACGCGAGGGGGGTGGTGGTGGGGGGGGGGTGCGAAACGTCAGACATGGTGACGAACATCTTGCGATAGATGCCCCCCACCCCCCGTGGAGGGTCGTATGCCACGACAGCGAAAACCTAGCAAGTGGCACCGAGAGAACGACCCGGATCAGCAAAAAGGGGCTTTTCCTTTCGACGCACGCGATCCTCGGTTGTCCCCCACCTCCCCACCCCGGACCGCCGTACGGGAACGAGCCCAGCCCAGCGACGGCGCCAGCGACGGCGTCGTCCGCGTGCCCGACGCTCGCTCACTCCCGGTCCACCACGGCAGACGAGCAGACCTTGTTGAGGCCGCACACCCCGTCGCCACGGAAGACGCGGTAATAGCCCTGCAAGCCACGCCGCCACGGACACACGCGTTGGGGGAAAATAAAATAACATTTCCGCACCGCATGCCGAGAGCGACACAGCCACACCACGAATTGGCAACAAAAAAACAAAATATATAGAGGATCGCAGAGCTTGGAGCTTGGGGCAGTTGTTGGTACTGGATCACCGCCTGGCTGCCTTTCCGCTCGTCTGTGGCACCTTGCGCCTCATGAGTCGTTCTCTCTCTCTCTCTTCGAGAGTGAGACTGTGCGGTGCGTCACGAGTTAAAATTATAATTACTACTATTGGTTGTGGCTCGGTGGCTCCGCAGCCAGAGCGCTGAGCTGCTACTGCCGAGAACTGGGGCTTCATGTCTACGTTTCAGCCGCCTGCGATCAAAGAAGATTCTCACGTGGAGTGAGCCGATGGGAGGGGTTTCAGCCCAGTCACCAATGACTGCACACAACAACAACAAAATCCATGACGTTTTAATTTGATCGTGCACTTGCAGTGCGAGTGTGAGAATCAATTGCAAGGGATTGAACGCGTCGTTAACACGCTTAGCGCAGTCGTTAAATGTAATCTTGCAGAGGTGTGCTCTTGCTGCGCTCAGTGATTTACCTATAGGGGCACTGTTGCTGTAAATTATCCGACTGATCCCTTAACCGCCACGCCCGGAAATTAAATTGTCACAAATCAGTTTCGCCGTTCCATTTAATAATCTTTGTTTTTGTAACCACTGTGTTGAACGTAGCGGCGTCTAGTGGCTGCGTAGCGGCGTCTAGAGTCACATGAATCCACTGCGTGCGGCAAGCAGCGCGCAAATCAAAACATCGCCCTCGACTTGCTGCGCGTATCGGGAGCCTAAAAAAGGTGAACATTCAACGGATGAATCGCCGCACCGTTACAGCTCTCTCTCTGTCAGTCAGGTACTCGCGAGGGTATTTGGAGTTTGCACGTTACTTTAGAACTGCGTTTCGTGTTTAGTTTGTTGTCCTTCCCCCGCACCTCCGTTGGCTACGTACAGTGCGCGAAAGAAGTTCAACGTACGGTACACATACACATGTAGCGATGCAATCACAACCGAAAACAATACTCGCCCGACGTTGTGGACACGGCGTGCACGACACGGACAGTCATCAAGTAAATACAAGCCCTCTGATTGCTACTTAACGTGCCTGAAAGGGGATTGAATAGATGCAGGGAATTGAAGCTATTGGAGAAGTACAAATGGAAAGAGCGGAGAAACGGAGGATGATTGACAGGGAGGATGGTTGGAATCCGTGGAAGATGATTGGCTGGATGGAAAGCGGAGGGTTGAGGAACCTTCGGGAAAGGCGCTTGAGGGATATACAAAGGGGAAGCACGAGAGTTCGGGACGCTAGAAGAGGAAATATTTGAAGACCGTGTCTCGTGCTCGAAGAAATAAAGACTCCTAAAATTATTCTTGAAGACTCCTGCGTCGGGCGTCGCTACACACACATGCGAGAGGTGACACGGGTGCTCTGGGCGACGGCTCCGTTTACCACTCACCTCCTCGCCCCACCCCACTCCCCAGCTGTTTTTGATGATCCAGAACGGCACGCCTTTCTCTAAAGCGCGGACACAGAGAGTTGCAGGTTTAATGGACGCGACCGATCACGTGTGAGAGCTTCGTTAGCGCCGTACGTAGGCAACCACGCCAATCGGAGGTGCTTGTACGGAAGGGGGGCATTGCCAAGGGTCAACTCACATTCACATTTACTCGTGCCATACAAAGGAATATTTGGTGTTGCTATTGCGGTGGCAGCGGTGAGCAAGCGTAAATGCCAACAACAACAAAGCTCAACACATTTGTCAGTGACCTAGCGCATGTGCTTGCGATGTTATGTAACACTCTAGCATACAATGGCATACTCGTGGCAAAATGGTTTAACACATGGGTCAGCAAATATCCACTTTTCACAGATGGCTTGCTTTGGTAGCCGCTCCGACTTCCTGGATTCTGGCTTCCTGACGACGTCTGGCGTAGTTTCAGACGAAACGTTACGTCCAGTTGATGAATTCAGTGGCGAGAATCGCTCTTCTAACTTAGCGGTGAGCACCGACAATTAGAATTGGCAGGTCGTCAACCAAAGGCTATTTTAACACGTCACAATTTGTTTCGGGTGGTGGAGGGTCTTGTCAACACAAATTTGGCCAGACCATTGCAAGGTCCGAACCCCCAAAAATTCAACTCCGAATCGGGGCAGCATTAAACTGTCGAGTCACAGCAAGTGACTCAAGAAGCGAGCGAGAAGAAGCGAGCGAGGTGACGCTATGGCTAAGCGGCCTGCTCGCGTACAAAGTAAGCGAGAGCTCAGAAGGGGACGACCATAGGAGAGAGAGGGGGGGAGGTGGCGATAGTGAACAAGGCCACGATGGGGCAGAGACGGGACTACATACGCACAACACTGTAGTGTGAATTCAAAGTGCCTCTCTTGATAATAAAAAAAAACTCACGTGGGCCAGTACTTTGGCCTTGTGCAAGTGACAGAAATTACTATAGTGAGGACAGCTTCTTGATGGTTTCTATCGACAATCTGCTTAATCAATCGACCCTGAATGGATCGCTCTCGGTCGACCCCTGATCGGGATCTGAACTTGCAACCTTCTGAGTGCACAGCGCATAGCGGCGATTAACCCTTTCCCGTTCCGAGACGTCTGCAAGGTGGAGGGTGGGTCGCCTTCACCGCTGAACCTCGGAGCGCGCGAGCGGTTCAGCATTCATTTTATTTAGAGAGGCATAGCGCCGTGGTTTTTCAAGTCATTGTACTCACCGCAGAGAACTCTAGCGACACGACCGCACTCTACGATAGCTGGAGCCAAACTGTGCCACACGCCCTCCCGCATGGCCTTGTGGGGGAACCTCGGTACCGATAAAAGTGATTTTACTTTAGTTTTTCTTCCGATTACATTCGGAAGAAAAACCGATGACGTACACGCACGTCATCGGAAATGGGTCCAATGGGGCTACGGTGACGAATGCCAATGAATTCATGACAATCACGATATCGATCGCAGTGATACAGGCGCGGGAAGACAGCAGCACGCACCTATGCCGTAGCCCACTATCAGAACAGCATGGTTCAGTTCCCACGACCAACACAGAATCTTCCACGGGTGAGCGATCCCATGCTTGTAAAACTGCCGGGAGGAGGGGAAAAAAAACCGCAGTCAAATTAACAGAGCGCTGAAAACACGAGCGAGACGAGAGGAAGGTGACAGCCTCCTTCCCAACCTCACAGTGCCGTCTTTGTTGAAGGCTGTTATGTGTGGAACCGTGAAACCCTCCCCCCTCCCTCCTGCAACTCAACTGACTGTCGCGAATCAGTAGGAGTCTTTATTTCGTCGTCCGTAATCCAGCGCTGTGGAAACGAGGGGTTGGTGCATCACACACAATGTTGTGAAACTCCCTTCCCGTGGGCATCGAGGTGCCATATCCTCGCTTGCCAGGAGATGGCGGCTAATTAAATGTGGACTCCACCTGTTCCGTCTGTACGAGATAAGAGGGTTTCTCCCTTGCACGTGCAGGTTTTTCACAGATGTCTACTGGACGTCTGTGAAAAAGAGCCTCATAGGGCATCAGATTCCTGCAGGATAAATAAAATATTCTGATTTTGGTTGTATGCAGGTGCTGCGGTTTCCTCCTACATGTGAGCACTCAACAATTGGCCGAAAACATCTTCATATGTAGAGGACCGCAGAGCTTTGGGGGGAAAATTGGTGCCGGCTCACCGACCGGCTGCTTCTGCCTTCCCGCTCGCAGCGGCTTTTGGCTGCTGCCATCGAACAACGACGGGTACCGCCGCATCGCGTGGCGCTTTCAGATGCGCTTCTGCGGCCGTCTGGAACGCTCTTCCTCCCGATATTAGGAAGCCACTGGGAGTTAATGGACTTTGAAATAATCTTGATTGAAAACTAATTTCTTTAGAACTGCATTTTGTGTTTAGTTTGTTGTCCTTCCCTGGCACCTCCGTTGAGCACGGTTGGCTACGTACTGTGTAAAAGAAGTTAAACATTTTTACATATTTTTACTTAAAACTTTCGTGACTGCAGGAATTCATATTCTATGGTTCTTTCGGTAAAGTCACGTAGATAGAAACATTATTATAAAATAATAAAAATAAAGTGAATAAAAATATCACGACGTTTCGAATCGACCGCTTGTGTTGCGATCGAAACGTCGTGATATTATTATTCACTTTATTTATATTATTTTATTGTTATATTCTTTCTATCTACGCGACTTTACCGAAAGAACCACATAATACATATATACATACATTCCACCTCGCGGCTCCGAGGCGTCCTCTCTCTACAAGGGCGATGAGCGAACACTGCACGGTGTGTCACAAGTTGAGATTTGATCATTCTCATGATTTGCTTTAATAATCAATCACTTTTCAAACACTGCAGTGAATATCGCTTGGAGCGGATGAGGCGGTGACGTGAACCAATTACAAAAAACGTCGTGCACAGTCTCTTTGTCAATCCACTGCTGGATGAAGGCCTCCCAATGCAGTGTTGGTCATGGGGCGTATGTTTGATCATACTTCACCATACCCGTCATGTGCAGATCGTTTCAGATATAGCTTGGCACCAATGTTAGCTGTGGGTGGCAATTAAATTTGGGTCGCAGGGTTCATAGCGCAGTGTGCTAACCATCGCTCAACCCATACAATAAATATATGAACCGCGAAAACAATTACTCTTGCACACGGGATTCAGTTCATTTGTATTGAACTTAAGAAGCAATATTGAATCTATCAATGCATTGCTCCATCCCTACAGGATATGGTGTTCACTGGTGTCTTATCTGAACCTAAGCTTTATCGCGATAACATACGAGTGTATCACACCGGCAATTGTCTATCACCAGAGGGCACTCAACTAACTGGCTGAAAAGTTCCCATTGGTGCTACAATCTACGTTCTGCAATCCTAACTGCTGATGAGACAATGAACGTCGAAACCGGTCCAGCGTTTGCTCGTATGAAAGCAATGCGGCGGAAATAATCTACTCGCGTGAGGCTGTGTGGCCAACGGGATCGTAAGAGAAGTACTTTCATTTTTCAAATGAAGGGACATTTTTGGGAAGGATGCGTCGTGTATGCCGATTTAGTTTTTTCTACAACGCAATTTAAAGAGCATAGTATATGTTGGAGAGATGGGGCAGTGATTAGCGTACCGCAGTTTAACCTCGGCAACCTGAGTTCGATTCCCAGCCACGGCTAACATCAGTGACATCATGCCACCTTTTTCCCCAACCCACACCGACCGGCATGCGGCGGTGCGACCAATCAACCCCCATAACCGACACGGCACGTGCATTGACAGGGAGCTGTAATCACTAAACCTAACTGTTTTTATTTGACCGGGTAAGGCCCACCGACTTATATAGATCTTTTACATAAGCAACCTGGCCACAAATGGTAACTCAACGAAGTGGCTTATCATGTCGATGGATAGCAGCAAAAATACTCTAAAAGTGCGATGTTGATTCCGGCATGTGGAAGGAAAAACCGGAGGACCCGGAGAAAAAAAAAACACACGACCACGGGGAGAACATGCAAAACTCTAAATATACAGCAGGCGTCAGGAGTCGGGATCGAACCCACGATCTCCGGTATACCAGGCGAGGTAGTTAACATCTCGCCACCGTGGCGCCCCAACCTGACCGTCGAGAAGGTTCTCCCCCGGTGCTTGGTCTTTGCTGTACCTGCATGCCCAGGGCGTTGAGCGCGATGGAAATCGGTCCGTGCTTTACGAGCCACGCTGCCATCTCTGTGCAATGCACGAACACACGAAAGACCTCTGTTATGGATATTGGTCGCGAAAGCCTACGTGTTAAACTGACAGACATTCCCGTGAGCGAGTGTATCCTCACGGGGGGGAAGACACGGACACGAGACGACTTTGACGCAACTGGGATGACACGTAACAATCGTTGCCCCCGACTGGCGAGACTAATTACCACCCACTTGCCAGCCAGGTTCTGGGTAACCCCGTGCCACACAGGGGTAGCTGCCACTGGGGGGGGGGGGGGTGCTCTTTAAAATGCGTTTAAACTATAAAAAAACTATAAGTAAATTTACCAGGTAAGGCCCACTGAGCTCCACAGCTCTTTTTCTGAAGTGAGCTGGCCGCAAATGATAGCTTTAAATTGAAAACTAATTTCTTTAGAACACATTTTTGTGTTTAGTTTGTTGTCCTTCCCCCGCACCTCCGATGAGCATGGTTGGCTATGTACGGCGCAAAAGAAGTTTGACACGCATACAACAAAGTGACTTATCAAGTGGACATTTACAGCAGCCGAATACTCTAAACGCATGTTTCCAAATCCATGCGATCATGGGGAGAACATGCAAACTCCAAATACAGAGCAGGCGTCAGGGTTTGGGATCGAACCCACGACCTCCTGCATGCAAGGCAAGGAAGTTAACATCTCGCCGCCGCGGCGCATGATTGCTAGACTGCCGCCTCCTGGCCACGTCACGGTCCGTCAGATTAGGAGCCTCGGAACAGACGACGGATCTGTGCGATCCACCAACATGGCCCGTTTGACGACCGATTTACCGTCTTCGTCGGAGGAAATGGAGACGGATCCGTTGATGTACGCCCGGACTTTGGCCTGGGAGAAGCCGCACTGCTCCATGTCCCCCTTGTAGGAGTAGTCGTTCTCCGTCATCAGCCCCCCTGCCCACCCCCCCGACAAAGCGTGCGGCTCGAAAAACAAGACGCGGGCAAAGTTCGCGAAACACAACCAACGCAGGCGTGGGAGTAAGGAGGGGGGGGGGGTGTGACGTGTGCTGCCGCAAGACTGCAGACGCACGCCGCACTCGCGATCTCCAGCGGTCACCGGATCTATTCGGTCTTACGGCGGCGGCCGCTGAAACGGCGGTGCAAGTTCAGAAATGGGAATCTTTGTTTAGACCGCAGGAGGAATCCGATGAGCTGCGAAGCACTTTTTTTCTTTTTACAGATGTCCAGTATGGGGGGGGGGGGGGGGGGGGTCAGCAAGTTACAACAGCAAACAAATATAAAAAAACGATAGGGGGTAGAAAAAGAGAAAATGGTAAGGAAATCACTAAAATAATAATAAGTCCGATTTATCTATCTTGAGCGAGGCAGCATAGAGAGCAAAACAGTTCCAGGCCACACCAAGTAAACACCACACAGCCGCAGTCCCTCAATACGATGGCCACATTCACATTGAACTATCGACACCACACTGGCAACAATCAAAGTAACAAATCGCATTTGCAAAGTGTGACTGCTGCATCCGGCGGCACTAATCTTCTGCTTCAGGGTATTTTTTTGTTTGTTTTTAAAAGGAAGAATTAGGACGACGTCAAGGCAGGAAACACGAGGTTTGTTCCAAACACGTTGGCGCTGCCGCAACGGCGCCCGCCGCCTCGCGCGGCATAAACGGGCGCACGCCACGGTCGGTCGGTCGGTCGATGGACAGGTCACGTGCCGTGGGGTACCGTGTGGGTAGTCCCCACCGCTTCCAAGGCCGTCTGGCCAGCGTGGAAGGGGGACTTCAAATGCCCTCGTTTTTTAGCGGTCGGGGGTTCTTTGGACCTCTCGCTTACTGGAGGCTCTTTCGCCAGCAGGAGCGCGATCAAAAACAAGTGCAGCGCTGCTCGTTTTAGCGGCACCTACTGAGACCCACCAGTGATGAACAGCGCAGCAGGGCTCCATGGAATGCGAGATTACGTGGACCGAGCTTGCGTTAGATACATTAATTCTGTGGAGCACGGAGACCCGTACATACTATTTACATGCACGCAGTGGATACGTTACGTAACTTTGTAGCAGCTTTCCACCGTTAGATTTCTCACGTTAAAAAAACTAAAGTTATAGTTTGACTGTCCGTTAATGATCGCTCCCCTCCCTCTCCGTCTCCCAAGCATAAATGTGAATCGACGAGGTTGTACCTGTAGCAGGGCAGTTCGTTGAAATATAATTACACGTGTTTTTGTTTTATTTAAAGAAGATAGACGTTCAAATTACCCACCGAGCTCTTGTATCGTTTTGTAAGCATTCATCTGCAGTCCTCCACCACACCCGTAGTCCAGCTTATCGCAGTCCACCAGCTCTGGACAACAAAAAATTCAAATTGGTAACAGAATCAATGTGCATCCCATCAGCCACACGGCATTCCGGCGGTGATTTTTTTCCCCCGCCAGTATTGGATTAGTACAAGCAAACTCCTCCGGACTGTAGTAATAGGTTTTTACCCTTTCAACTGCTACAAAAACTGACACCTTTATACAACAGATCATATTTGCAATAACCACAATACAAGCAGTCAAAATGTAAACAAAAAGAAACAACTCTGATAATGATAGTGATATGCACTGTCCTTGAAGTTGATTGGTCCACACCCGAGACAGCTTTTCTTAGAGCCTAGTCTCCATTGGTGTTGGACCAGATGACGCCAAAAGGCATACAACTCAAAAACAGCGCACTATCAGAGTTTTGAGAGCTTGGGTAAAGCATTTACACTATGAGACCTCCTTTACCAGTGGCAAAATATAGTAATAGGTTTTTACCCTTTCAACTGCTACAAAAACGGACACCTTTATACAACAGATCATATTTCAATAACCACAATACAAGCAGTCAAAATGTAAACAAAAAGAAACAACTCTGATAATGATATGCACTGTCCTTGAAGTTGATTGGTCCACACCCGAGACAGCTTTTCTTAGAGCCTAGTCTCCATTGGTGTTGGACCACATGACGCCAAAAGGCGTACAACTCAAAAACAGCGCACTATCAGAGTATTGAGAGCTCGGGGTAAGCATTTACACTATGAGACCTCCTTTACCAGTGGCAAAATATAGTAATAGGTTTTTACCCTTTTATCTGGTACAAAAACTGACACCTTGGTTTCACATTCGGTGCTCATCAGCAGTGTCGGGCTTGCTTCAGTCAATGCTGGTGAACTGCACGATCCTTGTAGGGTGCTAGTTCGACGGAAAACTAAGTGACATCGGGATAAGTTTGTAATCAATAAGAAATTATGGCTATTCTCAAGTAACGTTTTTTTTTTAATTTCACCAGGTAAATTCAACTGAGCTATGTAGCTCTTTTTCAGAAGTAACCTGGCCACAAATGATAGCTTAACGAAGTGGCTTATCACGTGGCAATTCATAGCAGAAAAATACTCTAAAGGCGTGTTTATAAATGTGGAGGGAAAAACCGGAGGACCCGGAGGAAAAATCCACGTGACCACGGGGAAACCACGCAAACTACAAATACACAGCAGGCAGGCGTCAGGGTCGGAATCAAACCCACGACTTCCTGCATACCAGGTGAGGGAGTTAACATCTCGACACCGCAGATATTTACACATCGCTCGGTTAGTGCCACAAGACACCGCTTGTCACAGTGAACCAACCTTCCTATCGAGTTTAGCAACAGAGCTGGGAATTGCTTAAACACTGTGACAGTCTTCAATGGCTTGGTTGCATGCACCCAAATCGCAACGAGTTGCGAGTGGTTGCGCAACCGCCTGCTCACAGTCGAGACAGACTCTACTTTGAAGCCTCCATCTGTTCGGCGCCTCGTAGCGACACATTTCGTCTTACGCACACCGATTGTGAGCTGCGAAGTGGAAAAAAATGTGAGCCTCAAACACGACGCGGAAAAAATGCGTAAAAAAAACCACGTTTTTTCTGGCGTATCCACAAATGGCTATCGGTATCTCCAGAACTGCGATTGGTTGTTGCGAGTCATGACCGGTGGTGGTGGGGGCCGGGTGATAACCAACATGGGGGCGGGGCTTTGCTGTAGAGGGCATGGACAGACTTCAGTTTGCACAACTACCGACTCAGATGTAGACAAAGTAGCTGCGGCCCGATTCAGTTGCGCAATGTGATTTCGGGGGAGCAAATTGTTCGTGCAATCAGGCGCCAATTTCGCACACCTCTGATTACCACAGGTTGGCTACGTAGGGTGCGAAAGAAGTTCAACACACATACGTAGATACGTACGGAGCGAAAGAAGTTCAACACACATACGTAGATACGTACGGAGCGGCTTCAGGCGCGCGACGACTCACCTTGCTCGGAGAGTGACAGCAGGCTTCCTTTCTTGATGGCCCACTGCCCCTCGATGTTTCCAGTCACAGAGAAAGCCCAGCAGGAGCCACATTCTCCCTTCGTCGCACAGATTCAACACGCCGCATCGCAGAAACAAAACAAAAAAATTACTTACTCCATTGTCCAGCAAGGGAACCCTCTGGGTTCGTGATATACAATAACCAGATTTGTTCACTCAACGTAAGAATACATGAAAAGCTAAACAATAAGTTACAGCCCTTTTTCAACCCACTGCTGGATGAAGGCCTCCACATCCTGTGCCAGTCATGGGCATTTTGACCAAAATTGACTCTACCGTTTTAGGTGTAGCTTGACAAAGTGCGTGATTCATAAATAACAAATTCACGGTCACCATCTTCATCCATTTTCAATCCACTGCTGGAGGAAGGCCTCCTCAAGCTAATGCCATCTTTCACTATCCTGCAATATTAATAATCCACCTAGCAATGAAAGAAACCGCACGGCACACCTCTATATAACATAGATTAATCTTCTAAGAAACATTGTGACTATTCAGTGGGCATTTTGCGGTGACATGTGGATAATTCAGGTGCATCCGCACTTTGTTCGGGCGCTGCTCTACGACGCCGGCATTCTGCGTTCATTTTCCCAGCCAAGCCAACACTGGTGGCGGGTGATGTCGTGATGCGTTCTGGGAGCCCCTGCACTGCCCAGCACGGTGCGGTATTGTCAAACAACGCCAGCCCATGGCTGAGAGACATGAGGTCTTCATTCAGCAGCGGAAGGGGCTGAACAGTATTTATGACCAGCACCTGCCACGGCTAACATCAGTGGTGATTCATGGCCACGGCTGACATCAGTGGTGAGTGACGTCTGAACTGGTCCTGGTCCTCCATCCATCATTCACCAACCAACAATGACCAGCATGGTGAAGTATAATCAAACAAGCCCCTTGCCCGACATGGCATAAGGAGGCTTTCATCCAGCAGTGCACTGCCGAGGGGCTGAAAACAATTGTTGCAGTATGTGCATCGTGCACTCATGAAGCTAAAATAGCAAAACAAAACACAGCGACAAATATGATTTGCAATTTGGCACGCAGTCTGCCTAAGCATCTGTTGTTGTGCTGTCCTGTGCCCCATGACTTCGCTCACGAGTTGTGTGGGAGGATTGAGCAAGGGTGTTTTTTTTTGTGAAATCGGAAAAGGGAAAAAAAAACATTTGGAACAATACTGGAATAAACATGTTCTTGGTTCTTTTGGTAAAGTCACGTAGAAGGGAAACAATAAAATAATACAAATATAAAACAATAAAATTATCACGACTTTTCGACTGCAACAGAAGCAATCATCATCAGGTGTGAAAATAACACAGCAAGAAAATTTGAAACATGTTTACCTATGCAATAATTAATACAATAAATGATAACTTATTGCTCCACTACGGTGGCGCCCGGCAACACGAGTTCGATTCCCGAATGTGGTCAATGGCAGCGGCGAGTGCCACCCGAACCGGTCTCAAGTCTCACCAATCCCCACTGACCAGCTTGGTGAAGTATGGTCAACACCACCCCCACGACCAACACGGCGTGTGTGGAGGCCTTCGTGTAGCAGTGGAGTGACAAAATAGGCAGTTGTTTGATACATTATTTATAACAGCTTTCATCTTCATCGGCAGCCACGCTTTCCCTACTGTCAGATGAAAGCCTTCCTAAACCACCGCCACACCCTCCTCGCGATCCAGGGCTGTAACAATCCACCTACCACCTCGCACGCGAACCGATTTCATCGCTCCATCTCCACGACAGACGTGCTCTCTGCGGTGCGCATTCCCTCCCTACATTGTCACATTTTATGCCCCAAAAAACAAAAAAACCCTCAAGTGTGAAAGAGCGACTCGCTTTATGACAGGAGAATGCCACGCACACGGGAGAACAGAAACTTCAATGGCACACAGGTAGCTCAGCCTCGTGACTCAGCGGTAATTCGAGCTGTTTAACCATACTTCGCCACGCTGGTCAGTGCGCGATGGTGAATGTGGAGGGTCGGAATCGCAGGACCATTGCAAATATCACTCGCCACCGATGTCACCCATGGCTGGGAAATAAACTCAGGTCGGCAGGTTCATTGCGCAGTTGCATTCACCACTGCTCCGCCACCAAACCCTGTTAATGTATAAACTGTAAAATAAAAGATTACAGTGACATATGCGTGTTGGTTTATAAAGCGGATGGTTAAAAATTACAGATATTTTCACACTGCAGGTTAACCTAGGTCACCGCTGAGTATATCAAATGTCTCGCTAATCCGCGTGAGGGATATGTACACAGTTTTTGTTTCGATTGTTTACCCAGCCAAGTAAGCCTCACCGAGTCTCACGACCCCTTTTTCAGGAGGGTTATGCCAAGTCTTCACGCTCGCGGGCGACGATTGCTATGAATATTCCAACTAAGTTTTTTCAGTGTCATTTATAAAATTTAGAAAATGTGGACCATGATGCCCGGACACAATGGGTCTACTCTTGCGAATGAGGTCACGGGATCTTAACGTCATCTGTGAAGCAGACGGCACGTAATATTATCACGGTTAATACACACGCAGGATTACTACTAAACTAAAAAAATATATTATTTCACCAGGTAAAGCTCACTGAGATAAATAGTTTTTTCAGAAGCAACCTGCCCACAAATCCTAGCTCACCAAAGTAGCTTATCGTGTGGAAATGTACAGCAGCCAAATACTCCAAACGTATGTTTCTAAACATTGAGGGAAAATTCAGAGAGCTCGGGAGAAAATGTCCACATGATGACGGGAAGAGAGGCACGCAAACTCCAAATATACAACAGACGACAAGAGTCGGGGTCGAACCCACGACCTCCTGCATGCCAGGCGAGGTAGTTAAAATGTCGCCACCGTGGCGAAATATATTAACGAGAGCGGCCGCTTAATTTGAACCGTGAACATCTGCAACAAACGGCGAACGCGCTACCGCTAGGCCTCGTCACCGCCCCCCCCCCCCCCCCCCGTGCGACGAGACGATTAAGCCACGGGGTTTACTGGAACATCAACTCAACATTTTTAAAATATTATTATACCTGTCACGCCAAGTAGATCCTTCCGGTTCACAGCTGCAGTTGCGTTTGTGCACAGCGGTCTGGATAATTCACCTGGCACCTGCCAGAAGCAGTCTGCCTGGACGTTGCATGGTTAATTTTTTTCAATGAATGTGAGCGACGGCAAGGGTCGAGCTGTCCATTGACAGACTGAGATGAGCTTCCCGTAGGTAACCGCTCGGCGGTACATAGTTGTGAAAAAATAACTCTCATGACCTCGCTGACCACAATCCACATGCTGTAATCTCCATATATATAAAAGGCAAAGTTGTGAATATGTGTCTGTTCAAAATATTTAGCGTACTTCCCGACATGCAACAAACTGGAAATGTGCAGACTGTACACCATGCAAAAATTATAAAAATACACTTTTGTGGGTTTTTTTTTGGGGGGGGGGAACTCAATAATGCATATATTTTTTGCACAGCAAGTGAGCTGTGACGTCAAATCTGTCACGTGACCCGCGTGTGTGGAAGCGTAACGCATTGTAGTGTAGTGGTTAGCGCACTGCGCTACGAACCCGGCGACCCGAGTTCGATTCCCGCTCACGGCCACCACCGGTGACGATTATTTGAACCGGTCCTGGGTCTCCTGTAAGTCGACTCAGCCTCAAACAATTAACTGGTGTGGTGTGTGAACATCGCCACTGGGGAGACAAAGGCGTGGTTAATCCAAGCCCCGGGTGAAGCCGGGTAGTAAAGCTAGTAAAATAATAAACAAAGGTACGTCTGTTTCCCCAGTAAAGCAAACGCTCATGTTTACAGAGGCCTCTTGTTACAACAGGCAAACCATCGGCATTTGTAGAACAGATCATCATATCCTGCATGTAACTCAGAAAACTGGTCCACACTTTTCCTGCTAAAGCAAATGCTACTGGAATACACTCTTCCAAACGTGCCTACAGGCTGACGGGACTCAAATGTAATTACATTTTGACTTGTTCACTCAGACCCACGCTTAATAAGAAATGGTGATGCCTGGACGCGCAGGTTTTTCCCCGGTTGCGCCGTGAACCTCTCCGATGTTTGTTCAGGTTGTGCCGTTCAAGCATTGTTCGGCACGACGTCTGATCTTTCACTCGCCGGGAGCTTCTTTGGCAAATTAATTGAGCGGCTCACTTTCTGCCTCGATTGTATCTTTGTTGCACTTCGTTCGCACCGCACGTGACCAACCGTGCTCATTGCAGGTGTGGATATATAATGATCGATCGTGCTAGGGTGCAGGCAGCTGCTGGAGGAATTTAGTTCCTGAAGAAGTTTCCAACACACGGAGCGAAACGTCGGAGATCGTGTCGGGAAAAACACGCGGCATAAGCCGTGCTTTCTCGGCACGGCCTGGGTCTCCAAACTCTCCTTCCGAAGGGTGGCGGCGCATTGGGATGTATGCCAATATCCGTCAGTTTGGCATGTGACAGAAAACACAGAACACGAGGAAACCGCAAGTTAATTTTGGTTTCCCAGAATCGACGACGCTGCGCGTGCCCTCAGCACGCTGCTGTAAGTTCGACCTCCCCCTGTCCACCGTCCCTCACCCCACTCGCCCGTCGTGCGATCGTCCCAGCAGCGGCACGAGACGCCGGTACATTCGGATGCATGACAACCTCACCAAAAAGGTAAATGTGCAGCCCTGCGGTGACTTGCTCGTGCCACTGCAGGCAGAAGATGTTTTCACTCGAGGGAGCTCTGTGAAGAGGGTATTGTTTGCCTACTCTTCGATGCTGGCCAGACATCTTGGAAGAGGTGGGAAAACACCCATCACGCTTTTCCACCACCACACACAAAATGAACTTGCACTTGAAGCAGTGCGCTGACCGTAACGCCACGCGGCGGCATCCCTCCCGCACGTCCCGTCGATTCTGTAGACGCATTACAATTACACCGCTGCCTCCGCCGAGCGAGCCGTTTGGACAAACCCCCGAGGCTACTCTTGGGCCAGGGACAGAAGCGGGGAGAGGGAACATCGCTGACCTGGTTCTTGACCTCCGTGACGGCGCCGTGGTCCCGCCAGTCGAACGCCGGCGGAATGGGACCTGGGGGGATCTGGGCTTGACGGAGACCGACTTCCCTGGGCCGCGACAGAACCGGGTTCAAGTGGAGCGCGCGGAACTCCTCCTCTGCACAAAGAGATCCACGCGGGGGAACGTTCACCATAATATAATGTTGATGCGAGAGCCGGGGGCTTATGGGACCCCGGGGTCCCGCCATAAGGTCCATGTGTTGATGTCTGCATACCCAACATTGTGCTCAGTGCAACATCGCAACGTGTATCTTTCGTCACCTGTAAGGTCGCTGAATTTGGTGATTCCGTACACTGCAGAGCCCTGCTCCATTTCCTGCAGCTTTTGAATCCGATGCCAATTTTCCCGGAAGACTTCGTACCGCATCTTCTCAGCTGTTTTGGAAAAAAAGCAAAAAAAAAGCACTTTTTTTTTAAATATACAAATTAAATCTCTTTAAACAAGCCTGTTCTGCTGGTGTTTCCTAAAGAGTGTTTTTAAAAATTCCAACTCCTACTTAGTCCACCGGGTTCATGCCACAGCGCGCTGATCACTGCGCCACCACTCCCCCGCTGCTATAAACATTATTCAAATTTTCTTTGTGTATACAACGACTGCATCCTACTACTTGCTCATTTGAATGCTGGTTTATTAAAATTTAAACCTTGCGAACTATACTTGTGCTCGTTATATATACAAGTTCTGGAATTGGATTTAAAGTGTACACATTAACCACTACAATCTCAAGTCGCGATAAAGTGTATGGGTCATTACTCTTTGGTTTTATCGGTAAAGTCACGTAGGTAAAAAATAAAATGAAAAAACAACTAAATTAAATCACGACGTTTCGGAGGCAACACAAGCTTCCGTCTTCAGGTCGAACCGTCACAGCAAAATTACTGTATCAAGTGATACAGTAATTGTCACTTGAACCGTGATGACATCTATCTTCATATTTACGCGATCTAACCCAAAAAACATATTATGGATGATATTGGTCGCCTCCGTGATAAAATGACAATGCTTAATTGCAAAACCAAATTTACATTTCAACTCACGGGCCCCAATTAGAAAACATCATCAAGTCATTAAACGACTAACAAATGAAGTGCAAAAATACATTACAGTAACTTTTACAGTGTTCATAGTAGAGGTGTTTGGCTTAGATCGGGTAAATATAAATGTTGTCATTAAACTCGCCACCACCCGAAAAAGCCTCTATTATGGATGACTAGCCTTACTACCCGGCTTCGCCCGGGGCTTGGATTCACCACACGAGTTACTCGTTTGAGGCTGAGTCGACCTAGGGGAGGCCCAGGACCGGTTAAAATAATCGTCACCGGTGGCGGCCGTGAGCGGGAATCGAACTCGGGTCGCCGGGTTTGTAGCGCAGCGCGCTGACCACTACACTACAATGCGTTACGCTTCCACACGCGCAGGGTCACATGACAGATTTGACGTCACAGCTCAATTGCTGTGCAAAAAATATAGCATTATTGAGTTCCCCCCCCCCCAAAAAAGTTTATTTTTTACATTTTTGCCTGGTGTACAGTTTGGAAAGTACCCACATGGCAAATTTCAAGTTTGTTGCATATCGGGAAGTACGCAAAACATTTTGAACACGCACATAATCACAACTTTGCCTTTCATGTATATGGAGATTTTGGTCGCGAAAGCCTACGCGTTAAACCTTTACGTGTCGTTTGCCTTCAATTTACCTCCTTCATCTTTGTACGTCTTGTTGTGCTTCCAAATGAATTCCTTGAATGCCGGCAGTAAATCCACATGTTCCTGAAGAGCAGCAATAGGAACACATTTCACGAATGCAAAATACCGTCATGTAGTTTAGACAGAATTCCTCGCAGCCACGATCCTAGAAACCCATTATCCGCTGAGCTATAGGGTTGCGCTCCTATTATTCCAGTTATCCGCAATTACCTGTGGGGTTCCTTTTCTCAGCCTGCATTTAGGAATGCGCCTCCCCACCCCCATCATCCACGAATGTTTGGCGGATAAGTGGAGTTTCATCGTCAAAATGCATCTTATTATCCACGATTGCTTCGTAGATAAGCGGATAATGGGATGATTGTACCACGCATTGCCAACAATGGTTGGTTTACTGTACTTACTGCCCAAGGCTAAACGAGTAAACATGTTTTACGAATTGGCTGGGGGTTAAACAGTTCATAATAAAGGTGTTTGTTGGGTTAGATCGCGTAAGTATAAATGTGTCGTAACCCTCCACCACCCGACAGAGCCAGGAAGGGATTTGTCACGTAAACGCGCCAATTAGCTTACTACTTCAACCCACCGGTGTGTTGGAGAGTAAATCCACAACATTTACAATTTGACCAACACACCGGTGGGTTTAAGTAAACTAATTGGCGCGTTGTTCACGTGGTGGAGGGTTACGACACATTTATACTTACGCAATCTAACCCGAAAAAAAACTTTATCATGATTAATATTGGTCGGTGAAAGCCTGCCACGTGTTTAAACTGGTTATCCAATTTAGATTTGAAGTTTTCGTGACTGTAGGGATCCATACTCTGTGGTTATTTCGGTAAAGTCACGTCGGTATAAAATAAAACAAATTCAATCACGAGGTTATATGACCTCTTGTTACAGCAGCCCTTTGTAACAAGAGGCTTTAGCCAACTTCAGCAAAATAGTTTCTTGCTGTGGTTGTCCGACCTGATGACGGACGCTTGTGTTGCGCCCGAAACGTCGTGATTTAATAGATTTTATTTTATACCTACGTGACTTTACCGAAAGAACCACAGATTATGTATGGTTATACAATTGTCAAACGATACGCTCTCACTTCCGAGACCTAACATTTCCAGACAGGCATTGGCGATTATGAAAAACAAACACGAGGTCCGACTGGTTTCTGAGACTATTGCCACACTGATACACATGGTGGTGCCTGGGATATTTTTTTTTGGGGGGGGGGGGGGGAGTGGTATTTGACTATACTTCACCACCCTGGTCAGTTCGGGTGGGTGTAGGCTGGCAGCATGGGCATGGGAGGGGGGGGGGGCACAGATTTCTGCTGACCACCGTGTGGCCTCGCAGCCTATAGCACCTGTTATGCACTGTGGTCAACACATATCCCCAACGCAATCATTTCCAGGCAACAGGAGGCAGACAATATCATTAAAAAAACATTCCGTAATTACAGATTTAAAATAACACAAATGTAACGATGTTGCAAAATTACGTAGTGAACTACTTATTCTGATTACGACGGCGCGGACAACGGGTGATCGATCACAATGATCATATTGATCACGATATCGATCGACACAAGATAACTCAATCGATGCTGATGACTGTGATATTGCCCATAATAATTCCACAATTTATGATCGCGCTCATGTGATGATGATGATTATTTGAATGCTGTTATTGGTCACATTAATACTCAGACTGTTCGGTGGTGATAATGATGATAATGATATTGCCGTTAGCTGCTGTTGCTGTTGATGATCAGGCTACCGATGATACTGCTGACATTACTGCTGATGAAGATGACGCTGCTCTAATTACTTGAACTTCTTTCGCACCGTACACGACGATGTTGCTACTGCTGATGATGATGCTGCTGCTGATGATGCTGCTGATGATGATACTGCTGCTGCTGATGATGCTGCTGCTGATGACTTCACCTGTGACAGAGGAGAAGATTCCAGAAGGCCAACGTTGCTGGACAACCACAGCAGCAGCAGCGGCAGCAGCAGCGGCGTCAACGACCACGCCATCGCCTCTGTTACCGAATGAGAGAATCGATTCCCTCCCCCCACACGAAACAGCGGAATCGATTCCCGTAATCAAGTACAAAGACAAAGCTCCCCCGTGTAGCCTGCGACAGATTGTAGGGGCAAGTGCTGTCAGCGAGTAGCACCGAATTAAGGTCGGCATGGCACGGGGGTGGGTGGGGGGGCAGCAACCACGCCCGACCGCCTTTGTCTCCCCCAGTGGCGATGTTTACTACACACCGCACCAGGTACTCGTTTGAGGCTGAGTCGACCTAGGGGAGACCCAGAGCTGGTTCTCAGATGTTCGTCACTGGGTGTGTACCCTGAGCGGGGCTCGAACTCGGGGGACGGCGGCGCTAACCGTTGCGCCACCGCTCCCCACAATCTCACCGCCAATCCCCCAAGGGGCCGCCCATAAATGACGTCATGCGATTTTGGACGATTTTTGACCCCCCCCCTCAACTATGACGTCACAAAGCTCTGCCCCCCCCCCCACAAAAATAAAACATGCTTCAAATCGCTTTAAACTATTGTCATTGTAGTGCGTATTTAATGTGGCGCTGCACTCTGATGTTGTATGAGAAGACATTTATTAAAAAGTTTATTTAATTAAGTAGAACGTGTTGTCTATATTTATTTAAAGTTGGGCATTTTTATGTGACGTCATATTTCTCCCCCCCCCCCCTTGTCACACATGTCTGACCCCCCCCTAGGTGCGTGACGTCATTTATGGGCACCCCCAACGATGAATTACCCCGGTGATCGCAAACGCCCGTGTCCTGTATCGGGTAATAGTCACATTTTTGACGACGCGCGTTGTTGTTGTTGTCATTGTTGTTGTTGTCGTCGTTGTTGTTGATGTTGTCATTGTTGTTGTTGTCGTTGTTGTGAGATTAACGTCGCGAATTGTCGCCGTAGAGTCGTGGAATCGAAACAAAAATTTCGTCGCACGGATCGCGAATCGGAATCGACGCGGTGCTGTTGCATAACTTTTAGCGCTTAGTGGAGTTTAAAGGGGAATAGTTTTTTTTAAACATTCGATTACAAAACGTGCAACGTGTGTTGTTCCACAATCGAATGGTTGTCAATCCACGCGGTTGACCCCGTACTCTTGTACAAGAGAAACTTACAGTCATTGGGTTTATTGGAGAGAAAAAAAACCAATGGGTACCAACTCTTTGGTTCTTTCGGTAAAGCCACGTCGAAAGAAATTAAATTAAATAATATAATACGACGTTTCGATTGCAACACAAGCAACCATCATCAGGTACAAATGAAAGAGAAAACAAACCTAGTAAACTTAGAAATCCAATGCAATACAACACAGAGAGTCGGCTAACATAACAGTCAACACCCTACCTGGTTGATTACGTTCTTCCAAAGATTGCTAAATTTGAGAGACAGAACACAGACACGGAGACACGCAGAGAGACACACAAGCAGAGAGAGACACACACAGACACACAGAGAGACACAGAGACACAAAGACAGACACAAGCAGAGACACACGGAGAGAGACACACAGAGACAAACAGAGACACAGAGACACAGAGACACACAGAGAGAGACACACACAGAGACACACAGAGACACACACAGAGACACACAGAGAGAGACACACACAGAGACACACAAGCAGAGAGAGACACAGAGAGACACACAGAGACACACAGAGACACACACAGAGACACACACAGAGACACACAGAGAGAGACACACACAGAGACACACAAGCAGAGAGAGACACAGAGAGACACAGAGAGACACACACAGAGACACACAGAGAGACACACATAGGGGCCGTCCATAAATGACGTCACGCACCTAGTGGGGGTGGGTTTGTGACGATGTGTGACGAGGGGGAGGGGGGTTTGAGAAATGTGACGTCACATCAAAATGCGCAACTTTAAATGAATATAAACACGTTCTACCTAATTAAATAGACTTTTTAATAAATGTTTTCTCCTACAACAGAGTGCAGCGGCACATTAAATACGCACTACAATGACAATAGTTTAAAGCGATTTGAAGCATGTTTTATTTGGGGGGGGGGCGGGGCAGAGCTTTGTGACGTCATATTTGAGGGGGGGTCTGACTTTTTGTGACACCGTGTGACGAGGGGGGGGGTCAAAAATCGTTCAAAATCGCGTGACGTCATTTATGGACGGCTCCATAGGCACACAGAAAGATAACGTTTCTGTGTCGAGGCCTTAGAGAGGGGGGGGGGGGGCAGAGCGGGAGTTGTGTGGAATTCCTCTCTTAAACTATTTTTTATTTTTTTCGATTTAAAGCTTTCGTGACTGCAGGGATTCATCGTCTTGGTTCTTTCGGTAAAGTCACGTAAAAATAAAAATGTATTTTATGTTTTATTTTAATTCTTTTATTACTTCCCTTCTACATGACTTTACCGAAAGAACCAAGAAGATATTTTTATTTTACCAGGTAAGGCCCACCGAGCTGTATAGCTCTTTTTCAGAAGCGACCTGGCTATCACGAATGATAGCTCAACGAAGTGGCTTATCACGTCGACATTTATAGTAGCCAAATACTCTGAAATGCACGTTGATTACAAATGTGGAGGGAAAAACCTGGAGGACCCGGAGATAAACACACGCGACCACGGGGAGAGGAACATGCAAACTACAAATAATAGCAGGCGTCAGGGTCGAATCCACGACCTCCTGTATACCAGGCGAGGTAGTTAACATCTCGTCAACACGCTGTGGCAACTGTGCAGCAGCTGACGAGGTGTGGCAGCATCAACGCCTTAGGCCACGATGACATCTTGATGTTGATCTTGATCTTTGTGGAGTGGTGGAACAGCAGTCATCGAACCCATCGCGTGCGTATGTTGAACTTCTTTCGCACCGTACGTAGCCTCCCGTGCAAATCGGAGGTGCGGGGGAAGGACAAACTAAACACAAAGAGCAGTTCTCAAGAAATCGTGGGTACAATCACCAATCCGTATTGACTAGTGTGAAGTATGGTTCAACAACTCTCAGGACCAATACAGCATGGAGAAACCTTTTTGTATATAGCTGTATGCCACTCGAGATGTTTTATTCTATCCCTGCTGTAAATGCTGAAACCCTTGAAAGGATTAGACAGATGTGTACCAGTATCGTCAAGGCTCTTGTGCGATTGTAAGAAGTTTGCTTTGTGCTGTGAGGCCAATGTGCTAGGAATAGCCTGGCTCCTGTAAAGTGAACACGGATACAAAACGCAACTCACCATTCGTCAATAACACTGCCTCTGAGAGTGAATACACGTATAGGTGATGATTTAGGCAATGGTCCTTCTCGACAGCAGACACCTTTGAAGCGAAATGTGGACATAGGCGCATGAAAGGCCATTGGTTCTGCAAATGGGCAATTGTTTGAAATGTCATACCTATTATAACACATTCCTGCGGAGGGAGCTGGTAGGAACGTTGGGTTGCTCGGTCAATGGCCAGGGTCAACGGCGGCGTGGTGTATCCCGCAAAAATGCCCGACTGAGGGCGGGCACAATCCGGCGTGAGTAGGTTAAACGTTGAGTTTTATAAGGGCACCACGGGGTGACCAGCTCCTCCCCACCCAGCCCCACCCAGCCCCTGCACACCCTCCCCTTCTCCACCCAGCCCCACCCCTCCCCATTTTTGTATGCACGATGGACGGACACAATAATTCCCTGTGGGCTGGTGTAACCAGCAGGTTCCTACCAGTATGTTCTACTGTTTAGGGTGGCATTGATAAAAGTGTCGAGCTTTAGCAACACGTGCTTGTGCACCACTGTCACCGCAGTACAGAATAACTCTTTTATTTTTATCCGCAAGTTTAAAAGGTGACTGCCGCTGTTAGTACATCTAAACATGACCTACACTCAATAAATACGCGTATACTGCGTGCACGTGTCCTGACACAGCTACATTTAATCTGATATCTCCAAGGAGAAAATTGTCACGCGGTGGGTTACCGCCTGATTAGATGGAGATGGACTTCCACCGAAATTCTTGGATGATGTTCCACCAGATCCACTTGCAATGAAAGTATGGATGACAGTAATCACCATCATTGTCTCTCACGGTTACGGGATGCAACACTTTTAGTAATAAATACATCGTAATACATACATGTTTGTACATCGAGATTTTTTTCTCTCAAAACATTTTCAAACACAAAATCTGTGTCCAAATAAAACTTTATTTGAGCGGAGAACTTAAAAATTGACAGATTTGCAAGAGCTTTCAGAAATGATTACCATAAGAATAGTTTTTTTTATTAAAACTGTTTTCAACGATCCCGACCGAGCCTTTAGAGCAAAAAAAAAGTCAACATTTGAGAGGGGAAAAAAATAAATAAAAGCAATGGTTTTCATTAACATTTGGGGGACCGTGTACAATTTACAAATGCACTCGCTATACTCGGGAGCAATTACAAAAAAAGACCCTTTCCAAATGCCTTAACAAAAGCCAAGTATCAAAATTAAAAATACCAACAAAGTAATCACGCGCAAAAAATAACGTTTTTTTTTTACGTTTAACATTTTTCGCAAAAAAATGTGAGCTTAGCGAGTCTCCCGTGCTACAATTACACTTACATTTTAATAACCGGGGGGAAAAATATATATGTATATATTATACTACAAGTGTCTTAAAGTTGTTGCCATACTTACAAAGCTAACAGCTCACAAACTGGAGCTGAAGAGTCCTCATTGAGGAAACGTGAAGTCGAAAATAACTTTATAACAAGAACAGCAACGATACAGAAACGGTAAATTCAAAAGTAAAAACCACCGACGGTTTAAGCAGCTGCCGCGGCAGGCCGCACATTCAACAACCGGTCAATAATCTCACCGTCGCAGCCCACCAGGTTCACTTCCCTGCCCTTGCCTCTTTACCGTGGGCTGTTTTGTAGACAATGCTACAACAATTTGAAAAAAGGGGGTCATCCCCTAACCCAGTGAACCCGACACCAATGTCTTTCCTTCGCCCCCGCCCCCCCCACTTCAGGCGCAAGCAACCAAGACAGACGTCCGCACGTAGAAAGGGATTCGGTGTGGTTGCATGCAACCGAGGTTCGTGCAACAGATCTCAAGGAGGTGTGGACGTCTCCGATGCCGGTCGCGAGAGCAGTTGCGCAGCCGGGTTTTTGCTTGACAACGGAGACACATTCCACTTTCAAGCATCCACCTTGCTCAGCTATTTGTAGCAACGTAATCTTTTTTTGACAAGTGAACATTTGTGAAGTTACTCTTTTAATTATTTATTGGTCGTGACGATTCTGTGCGTGCGTGGGGGAGGCGAGGGGCAGGGGAGCTGATCAGAAAAGAGGGGCGGGGGGGGGATGTATTTTCTAAAGGGCGTGGCTGGTGCGCAAAACTCATTGCCAAGACGTGGACAAAGCAGTTGCAGGAGACTTAACTTGCAAGATTTTGAGGGGGATTCAGCCGTAAAACTCAAGGCTCGGTTTCCGGTGTGAGCTGAGTGTGCCTTTTGGAAAAGGTGGGGGGTGACCCCCGCATACGTGAGCCAATTTAGATAGGATCTTTATAGTCAAAGCACTACTATAGCTGTAGTGAAACACAGTGCACCCCCCGCCCCCATCACCTTCGTGAATATGCCAATAGAATCCGATACGAACTCGCTCGATCGGATGAGGGTGAGGAATGAGTCACGTGTAAACCAACCCCACAATTGCACAGTAAGGAAATATCCGTGCTCAAGGTAATTTCTGAAAAAGCGATTCCAAAATACTGTTGAGCGCTCGGTCTTCATTTGTTGAAGAATTGTTTAATGGCAATGATGAATGAGCCGCCAAGTGCACTGACCTTGTTGGGTGCATGCAAGGGGATGATGGGATGTGGTATCATCATCCCCAACGGCTCACCGTTCTCACATGTTAAGCAGTAAATTCGGTCGCAAAAGACCGATGGTTCAACATAACCGCCCGGCAATTTGTGCAATATTTTCAGAAACGCATCGCTCTCTGGATGCTCAATACCCTGTGAGTCTCAATAATAAGCCACTTATGTGTTCTGTGTCAGAATTCAAATGTTTGTTTGTCTAAATTGGCCAAAACTCAAATTGCACGTTAAAGAAAATAACTGTTCATGACACCAAATGGGATGAATAGATAATTAACGCAAATTGGTATTTCGCTTTTTAAAGGAATTTGCTGGAGCTGTTTGTCAAGAGCATTGGATGAGGCTTCAATGTTGAACGAGATGATAACAGCTTGGAAAATGGACTGCCGCGTGAAGTGTACAGGGATATAATTTTGGGTGGAATCGCTTTGACAATATTTCTTAAAATCTAAAACCGTGTAATTATTTAAACAAAAATTGGTTGTTTAAATTCAGATGGAAGTCATCCCCAATTAATAAACGTTTGCAATGATTACCTTCAACAATTTAAAATCCTTAGACCATCTAAAAGGTGGAACATTATGCCCTAGAAGCAAATTCCCTCGACGCGCACTGCCATTTTCCAATGCTCTCTCTCTCTGTGAATTTAAGCCTCAAGTGATGTTTTTGTGATCGAGGCTCGATTTGTGGAAAGGATTACGGGCCCCCTCGTGATCACCGAGTCTTGTGATCGCAAGACTCGGCGAGAACAACTGTTTAAGGGCGCTTTATACATTTAAATGATTATTATTATTGCTTCAACTCTGCTGAGCGGTGGGGGCCACTTCCGGCCTGGCCGCTGGTTTCTGTGCTGATCACGAAAGTTTCCATGAAGCGTGCCGCGCTTCCCTACGTGTGCGCAATCCCTCGCCCAAGTCCGCCACACGCGACTTTCGTTCGGCATGAAAAGGGAAGGAAACCGCTTTTTTCCTGGGGTGTCCGACGAAAGCCGAACGGTTCCGGGGAACTTCAGCGTACAAAGTGTGGGCTGCTATATAATCTCATAATATACCTCCGTAAAGTGTACTTCACGTTGCTAACGTTAGGTTTAAAAACGTCCGGCGGCAGATTGACAATGAATTCCTATGCGTGTATTTAGAACATCTTTTGTGCCGTACGTAGCCAACAACGCCCATCGAAGGTACAGGATAGCAGTTTGATGGCACTAGTTTGTGCCTGGGGGGGGGGGGGGGGGGGCGGGATTGATCCTTAGACGGGTCGTTCCCCTCTCACCGAGGTGTTAAGCTACCTCTTGTTTTGTGGCTGGAGGGACCACAACGGGAACACAACACCCATACCACGTGGGGGGCTCGTAGCGTCACACAGGTATTGGGGGCTGTCACAGCGGTTACTACACGGGCTCTTGTGAGCTCATGAATTAACACAAGGGCTGCATCTCTGGCAGAAGGAATGCCAAGCCATGTGCTATTCGGGCTTGTGATGGATTCTAAACATCATTATTTGAATGACGACAGTGTGGCTTAAAATTAATGATATACTGACTGAAGAATCAACAGCAAACTTGACCTGTTTAGCCAATGACACTTCAGTTTATGCCACCTTCGCTAAATCAGTGTTACGGTGAAGATTTCTCCATCGGCTTAATTTTGTGCACAAGTGACTGATGTATTGTGCGACCAGAAGCATACAGCCGGAACTATTTGCAAGCGATGTGCTCAGCGTATTCGCAGCGACGTATTTCATCACGCGACACGTTTGTCGACTACGATTGGTCGTTAAAATCCCGAATGCGTAGTTTAATTTCCGTGTTGTGCAACTACTCGCTTAGATACGGGCAAAAGCAGTTGCAGGCAATGATTTGAGTTGCACGACTGGTCACTCGGGTGTGGGACCCACCTTTGAATCGAATTGAGTTGCGTTTTAACTTGTGTCCGATTATGAATTGCACACGTCATATGTTGTCTATTTGAATTATTGTAAGTTACTGCAGTCTGACAGTACAAAAAACCCATCAACTGTGGGTCTCACATATCCAAGCTCAGCAAGCTACGGTTTCTGACATCGATGAATGCCAGTGCTCAGCAATTCAGAATTGGCTTTGTGTTCGCTTAAAAAGGTCGGGCAGCGGAGATCTGTGCGGGGAAAATTGGCACGGGGCACCCGGCAAGAGAGATGTGGAACAAACGCCATAACCCACCGCAACACAACCACACACACACCGGCCACAAACTCAAAATAATGGCAGCCTGTTTCGTGTAAACGAATTCTCCAGCAATATACAGCCGTAAATAGGTGAAAGGAAACAAACTACTATACACGAATTTAATATTCAATTTAAATAGAATGTGTAGCTTAATCACTCATAAATCGACCACTGTACAGGGTGAGAAGGTTACCGTTGCATTGCACACAGCAAAGGAAATCTTGGGGTCAAATTCTTGGGACAGATGCAGAAGGGGGTTAGAGGGAACGCTAGGGACATACACTACTGTGGTTGTTTCTCTGTTCCAGGTTATTATATTAGTTTTAAATTACCATAATGGTTCCTGCCCGTATGAGAGATATTTGGGTCATCTGGGACACAGAATCAATGGCGGAGCCAGGATTTTCAGGTAAGGGGGGGGGGGGCAACCCCTCCAGCAATTAAAAATTATAGGAGTTGTGAGGAAGTACTTTTCCCGTGCTTTTTATTCGACGCGTGTGCGACTATGGCACAGCTATCGATCGAGGGTCGAATTCGAACCGTGTGTGATCGGCATCGCGCTCGCTGAAGGTGTTTGCCTTCAGGGAAGTCGTGGACTGTATACGCAACTGCGCACAATTATGCGAGTCACTTATAACCGCTTTGCCGTTACTTATTGTCAATTATGGACGCAGACTATTGTCCTATCGTCTCATAAATTCCCTGGCACGTAATAATATGCTACACAGCGGCAGTGGGGGTCGCAAAAATGCCGATTTATTACTAAAAAACCTCAATGATCCGATCAAAATTTGGATTTCGATCGGATCATTGGGGGGGCATGTGCCACCCCCCCCCCACTGGCTCCGCCAGTGCACAGAACGAATAAAGGTGTTTTGTTGTAATGTCTACTTCGTCGGCCCTACGCCAGTCGACGTTTTGGATATATTACGATGCTTGTGCCTTCAAAAAGAACGACCAAAAAATATATATTTTGATCGATTTGTGGTCAAAGTCATTTGTGGACAGTCATCTGTCGTCAAAGTCATCTGCAAAACTCCACAGCAACAAAAGTCGCTCGAAAAGTCACGTAAAGTTTCCCAACGGTACACCTGAGTTGTTTATAACTTGCAGAAAGAGGGCACGTTTTATTTAATGCAAGACCGCTCGCTCATTCTTCGAGAAATATCAAATCACTGCCGAGTCCTCACGGGCATCCAAGCAAACAAAACTTAAATTTCTCCAAATCACTCCAGACAAATCCTACATGACAAAGAAGTACACATTTCATTCAGGGTTCTTGTAGCACCATGCGTATAGGAAATACATTTTAAAACCGTACAAACCCAGTGTTGGCTGACAAGAGGCTGTGCCCATTTAGCTCACACGAGGAGTGGTGTCTGGGTTACAATTGAAGTGTGGGTCTCTGTTCAAAGCTGGTGTGGTGCCCATTTAAACTACTGGCAAAGTGGGATGTCTATGGGAGTCGGGCTTGGCAGGTGCTTGTGTTCAAACCTGGCTCTACAAAACGGCTGCTTCTAAATCACGTGGTCAATGCGGCGGTGACCACTATGCACACACAGCACTAACCCCCTAAGATCCTCATCAACAACACAGCTCACTTTCACTCAAAACAACCACCACCAACACCAGAATCAACGTGCTAATATCCAACCCGAAAACCAGAGAAATTAATAACTTTGGTAACGTCAGAGTACAAGTGTTTTGTTTCTGCACCACGGTTGTCAAAATACTATCAATTGAATCTGTCAGAAGTATATACAGTAGGTGGTGGGGGGGGAAGGGGGTGGGGGGAATTCCATCAATATAACATCCCGATTGTACGTTTGGCGCCAAGGCACGAAGCGAAGGAATGTCCTTACGGCAAAACTCGCTGCAGAAGACGGCACACGGCCGCCCCTCTTGCGAAAATTTGGTCGAAAGGACGCCCGGAGAGAACGGGGCACTGATTACAACCACTTCTGGCGTCTCTTCCAGAAAGCGATCTCACCACGGCCACTGAAAACTGCAGGGCACTCGTGTTTCCGGAGCGTGCAAGTCGTTTGCCATTCTTTTGCTCCCATTACAATACGTGTCGCTGCGACGTTTCTTTTTGCTTATTAAATCGCTCGTTTTTTGTTGTTGTTGTAACCCAATCGTTTTTGTCGTGCGGTCATTAGCGACTGGGCCGCCAAAACGGGGTTGAATTACAGGTGCCCGGATTTGAACCCAGGAATCTCAGCGCTGCTGGCTCAGGCCCCCTGACGTTGCCATTATGAACGCGCCGAACCGTATATCCAGGTACCCCCGCGATTGGTCGACACTTATTTTGTTTTGTCAGAAAGCAGGACGGGCGAGTTTGACGGGTGATCCCCGACTTGGGAGAAAGAAGGATCGCAAGGATTTCGCCGGGTACACCAAATTCACACAACACGAGCCGACTACAAAACCTGGGCTCTGTCGGTCACGTACGGGGGTGGGGGGGTTAAGGCAGTAGCAGTATGGAGATTCACACGTGACACCAAGCACCACGTTTCATCACAAGTCATGACCTTCTGGGAATGGGTTGGCCTTGCCCCCTCCTAGGTCACCGATAATTAGAGATGACGACCACCTGGCAAACAGCAGCGGCTTTTGGCTGGCCATTGCATCCTTTCAGATGCGCTTCTGCAGCTGTCTGGAACGCTCTTCCTTCTGATATTAGGAAGCCACTGGAGCTATGCACTTTTAAATCTACATTGAAAACTCATTTCTTTCTAACTACTTTTTTAAATTTAGTTTGTTGTCCTTCCCCCGCACCTCCGATTATCATAGTTGGCTATGTGCAGTGCGAAAGAAGTTCAACAAACACACACACGCATACATGTTGTGTGGTCAGCACCGACACTGGAATGCACAATGCCGTTTCCACCACAACATTAGTTCACTCATTCCACTGTTAATAGGTGCTCGCTAATGACACTGTCAGTATAAACCAGATATATGTAGGGCAGCTTTAAGTTCCTGACAAAACCGTTAAGGGCATGGCATGGCTGTAATTACGGGATAACCTGTCAGGGCACTACACAGTGTATTAAAAAAACAACCAGGAGATGGAATAGAGAGACGAATGTGGCTATTGCTGTACCCCTAACACACACCCACTGCTCACTGAAACACAGCTGCTGTCCCCTAACACACACCCACTGCTGGCTTACACACTGCTTCTGTGCCCTAACACACTGCAGGCTGACAAACAACTTCTGTGCCCTAACACACCCACAGCTTACTAACACACACCCACAACTCACTGACACACACCCACGGCTGGCTGACACACAGCTGCACAACTCAGCCAGTTTCCAAGGATTGGAGGATTTGATTCCCTATCACAGCTGGCTGGTGAGGTCTGCAGGGAATTTACAAAGCCTCAAAGTGGCTCTTGAATGCCCTGTGGTTCTAATCTGGGGCCAAGACCATTTGCTGTTGTTGTCATGATCCACATTCTCCAACATAAAAGTGTACCCGCTTTTTGTTCATTCGCAATCAAAGAACCTGCAGTGGCTGAATAATCCTGATACGGAAGTCACGGTTTGGAACGAGACGGTTTAGACAATTTGTTTGATAATGCCAATGTAATGGAGATGTCAGCTTGGGATGGGGGTGGGAGAAAGTGAGATATTAGATTCTGAATCAAGGCAGATTTTGTTGCGTCTGGAAAACGGGTTGAATCACTCGCAGATCCATGCAAACCGAACGAAAGCTTTTGCCTAAAATGCCACAATTCAGATGCACCATGTCGTGCGGTGGTCACAACTTGCCCTGTGACCTTTCAACAAACGCATGCACAGAGCAGACAAACAGGCGATGGTAAATCCTGTAGTTCATTGACAGCAACTCCCTGCAACTTAACAGACCGCCAGGCGAGTGTAAGATCACCAAGTGGAAAACAACGCCAAACTTCAACAGCGATGGTTAAAATGTGCTCCTCCAGCATCACCTGAATTGACAAGCCCAGGATTTCATCGTGGTGGGCACAATGGGGCAAGACGGTTCCATTTAGAAGAGGGCAATAACCATTGTAAGGTAAAAGTCCTTGCTTCACGCGTGTTGTTCACAAAACGTGTTTTTCTTCCGTTCGAGAAAACTTTTCGCGCAACGCAGAATGCGCACCGTTGTAACGTGGTTTCCAGCGGTCAACAATAACCTACTTTCTTGAGCTGCGCGGCTTACCGGTAACGATAAAAGTACGCGGAGTGATACAGTAATGCGGCTGCGTTACCCTCAGTTCTTTGTCCCGCCATCTCGCTGTATGTGTGTAGTACATCGTATCACACCAAACATTACCCTTACATTCTTTATGGGCAAATTGTTTTCGCTTTAACGCAGCATTTTCCAGGAGTGCATCTACTACCGCGTATTTACTGTACTGTTATTTGCGGGAGTACCAGTTGGTGTTTTAACATTTCAAAAGATCAAGGTGCAACCCTGCAATTGCTTCCTCAATGCCACTGTTGTTCAGAAGGGCCTCCACTAAAGGGAGCTTGAGAATCCATTTATAGAAGTTATGTTTGGTCTACTCTCCCACGCTGGTCAGGCGTCTTGGAAGAGGTTGTAAGTACCCCATCACACGACCTTCCGATGACTAACTGTGGTATACCCAATTATACTGCAAGGTGGGCAGAAGCCGGGAGGGGGGGGAGAGGTGGGGGGGCAGGTAAGATTTACACAACTTGCGCAATTGTTTTTACTGTCACACCTGGAGATCGAACTGGTGACCACTGCGTTTAAAGTCCCGCGAGCCAGCCATTCATTATACCATGGCAGCATTTCTCATCTCACTTAAAAGTTCATATTTTCCATAAAATTGTCAGTGAAGGGCATATGTGAGTGGGTATCTTGACTCCAAGACTTCAGTACAATGGTGTGTGGGTGCAGTTATACATGTTAGGACAGTTATACATGTTATGACATTGGCAGATTACATTGCAGATGTATCTGTACCAACAGAGCCGTCACTTGGCACCGGCTGTATGTATGTATGTTAAACGTCTTTCGCGCTGTACGTAGCCGACCGCGCTAATCGGAGGTGCGGGAAACGGACGGTGCCGTTAATCGCGCGCGCACACTGCTAGAGTGAAACCGTCCCTCGGGTCACGTGTTAAAAACAAAAGACAAATCGCCCAACGTTTAAATAAAACAGGAGGCCGCTCTCGCGCACATTTATATAAAAGGGGAGTCCGGGGAGGGGGCGAAGAAAACAGAAAGCTCACTCGACACCTTCGCGCTCTCGTCGGAGAGAAAAAGAAAAAAAACTACGCCGAGCACAATAAACTAAACGCGTTAAACGCACGGCCTCGCGACGCCATCCTCTCGTCCCGTCGCGGTCACCTGGAAGCGTAGATTTTGTGTCCAGTGTGAATTTACTGGGGCCGGGTTCGCCGTGCGATCTGGGTAAATGGACGGACACGGGGACGGGCGGGGTGATCGGGCGCGTCAGTCGCACATGTCGTCCCCGATCTCGTGCGGGTTCAGGATGCCCGGCACCGACATCTGCACCTTCCTCTTCTCCTCGTTCGCTTGCCGCAGCGACGACTCGCGTTCCTCCAGGTACAGGTCGCTCGTGTCCTCCCCTGCAAACTCCTGGGAGAGGGAGGGCGATGGCGGCGGTGAGAAGACACGGTGTGTCATTCACGATTCAGATTCGTCATCGTCGACCGTGAGCAAGAGTGCACCTCCGATTAGCATAGTCGGTTACATACGGTGCAAAATACATTTTAAGTGCCCCTCGTCTCAAAGCTCTCTCAGCATGGCTCCCCCGTGCTCAGATGAAATTGAGAATGGTTATGAATAGGACAATTCCTTTTGTAGCCAATACCATAATAATGGACCAAAATTCCTGCAAGCTGATACCGACGACGTATACAAATTAACGCCGCAGTTATTTACTTGGGCGCTTTCACCGCGACCGCGTGAGCAGCACCGATTGTGTTTTGTCCAGTGTCATTTTTTGCCCGACGCTGTGCTACCTTGATCTGCACCAGGAAGTCGCGCAGATGCTCTTTGAAGGCCGGGATGTCGTGGTTCAGGCTGAACAGCCCCGTCACAAACAGCTTCACCTGTGCACTGCACAAACACACAGACAACAAAGCTAAAGGTACCCTTGAATACAGCAAAATGCTGCAAGCGATACAATATTAAGGATAGTAGAGTACATGAGGGGATGGTTTGGCTAATACCAGCAGACTGACATGTCCACCAAGTGGCTCCGTGTAGACAGAGTGACTTGTAGATGAGTGGCACGTAGACCGAGTGGCATGCACACTGACCCAGTAAACATGCGATTTTGGGCCAACATTGGCCCAACAATGACCCAACGTCCTGCGTTCGCTGCGGCGTGGCAATGTATAATTTGGACGCTGAGCACAATTCTAAGCATGTCCAGATGCCAAATATCAGGACAGATGCCATATTATAAGATGAACTCCCAACATTTGGCTTTTAAATATATTAAAAGACAGTGCGCCGACTAGCGGCCAGAAGTGGTAATTGCGGGTGTGAGAATAGTATGGGCAGAAAGACAGATACACGGGAGCGACCACACAGGGGAATATCTTGGCCAAGGGTCAGATGGGATCCATCTGGGAGTTCCCAGAACCAGCTTGAGAGTTCGAGAAAGGGGTTGTGGCCAGGGCGGAGCCACAGCCACGCTGGGAGGATATGAGGGAGCAAGGAACGGGTTCTGGGCTGTTGTGGGGGTCGTTGTCCTGGTCGTTGTCGTCTTTGTAATGGCTTCGTCGTCGTCGCCAGCTTTCGAGTCAAGTTGGCGTCGTCGTAGCTAGACTCTCAGCGTTATATTCCATGCCACCGAGTCGTAATCGTGTGAGGAACTAAAGGAGAAGCCTCTACAGTTTACGTCTCAAGAGTCGTTACATTACAATTATATGGGCAGTCCTCGACTTATGAACATAATTCGTTCCTGAGACCCGTTCTTAAGTCATTTTAACACACACACAGACACTCGTGCATGTGCGCACGCACACTCACTCCCAGCGCGAGGCGAGGTTGACTCATTACATCAAGCGGAAGATCACCCCGCTGAACAATATAGTTTACAAGTGCGAGTTTGCATTTTAAGTCAAGTTATATATATATAAAAAAAAAAATTGAAGCAGGTTAAGTGCGGGTGTTCGTAAGTTGGGTTTATTTTATCTATATTATTTTATTATTTACTTATATTATTTATTTTTACCTACGTGACTTTACCGAAAAAACCTATGAGTATGAATCCTTGCAGTCACGAAAGCTTCAAATCTAGAACGTAAGTTGGATGTTCGTAAGTTGGGTTTTCAAAGTGCATCTTATAGTCGAGGACACAAAATTTCACGCGTGCGTGTGGCGAGGAGGAGAGAGGCTGCCTTACTCTTGCAGGTGTGGGAAGGCCGACTTGAGCAGGTTGGCGATGTACTCCTGCACGAAGGGCACGTTATTGGAGGCGGGCATCGCGGGGTTGAGTGGCACCGTGACGCGGCCTTCCTCCGCCAGGTTGAACATGTACGCCAGGATCGTGGCGTGCATCGTCAGGCCTGCGCCGCAGGGACAACCGTGGCACAGGTGACAACCACGGTGGGTGGTTGGGACAATGGTTGGATTGTTGTACGGGTTGGTCGGATGGTTTGAGTCGGTATGGTGGGTGCAGGAGGTGAGTATGGTGGTGAGATACCGATGGGCGAGTAGGCTTTGGGTGTGGGTATAGTGGGTGGGTGGTTATGGTTGTTCAGAGGGTGGCTGGGTATAGTGGGTATGATCCATAGGCGGCGGGTGGTTGGGTTTGGGTGGGTGGACGGGCGGGCGGAAGGGTACCTGCGGTGTGCGAGGTGTCCGTGACCACCGAGAAGATGTGCTGCAGGATGTCACAGAAGTACGTCTGGTAGAAGCTCTGTGCGGCCGCCCCTTCCTGACTCACATTCTGCAGCAGTGCCAACAGGATGGAAAGACCTGCAAGTGCAGACATAGCCACAGGTACCCTACTAAGCATAGACATCGGTGGGTGGTGGTATCGGCATGCAGGAATTGGGGGAGGTGGGGCAGACAACTGGGTGGGGGGCAAGGCAATTCAGACTGGCAGTCAAACAGACGTACAGGCAGTGATACATCCACACAGGTAGCCGCACAGTTTGGATATTAGAGAAACACAGGCCGAGATGCAGTCGCACAGACATTCACACAGTCACAAAGTCACGCAGAAAGTCATATCGGCAGTCAGAGACACAAAGCAACACAAGCAGTCGCACAGACACACGACAGGGTCATCCAAGCACAACTGCAAGAATGCGACAAGTCGTGCGGAAACACGGGCAGTCACTGGTACGGACACACAAAAAGTCACGCAGGCAAGCAGGCGGGCGGGCGGTGGTTTACCCGTGTCGGCAACGTTGCGCATCGTGTGCTTGAAGGCCCAGATGGTGGCGTCGAGGAGCAGCTTGAACTGCGCGGGAGGGATGGCCAGGAATGCCGGGAAGCAGTGTGTGTTGACGGCCTGCAGCAGCAGGAAGAAGTTGGTGCGGTGCTCGGGGTGTTCCTCAAAGTCCTGTGAACACACACAACAACAACAACCGTCATCCATCACTAATTAGCGGTGACGTCACTACGGCGCTTGTGCCAGGCTATATGCACTTTGAGGCCACGTGAAGTGTCGAACGCCCGCTGGCAGGTCACGGGACATACTCAGGTGCAATTGGTTGACTGATTGAGATGACTGGCAGGTGCACCACCTGTGCCCCCTACTGTACCAACGCACACAAAGAAAAAGATCCCCTGTATAGCCTTAATAGACTGTTGGGGCAAGTGCGCACACACACACACGCACATAAGCACAGACATATGCTGGTGTTTACACACCGTGCCAGGCACTAGGTTAGGGGCCCGAGTCGAGCAAGTTCAGATGTTAGCCACTGATATGAGCCGTGGCCGGTAAATAAGCATAGTGCACTAATCAACTACACTAGCGCTCCGCAGATTCAAATACAGGCACGCCGAGGGAGGAGCAAAAAGGTAGACACAGAGAACAAAGTGTGGACAGGCAGGAAGACGGAGGGAAACGTGGACAGAAAGCCACATAAAGAGAATATGATCACATTAAAAGAAAGAGGAAACAGACACACAGAATAAGACAAAGGCGAAGAGGAATAGACAGACAGGAAGCGCGAACAGAACAAAGTAAAATTCACAGCGGGAGCAAACACACAAAGAGGCCGAGGGACAAAAAGGAGGACGGAGATTTAGACACAGAAATAGAACACACAGTAATAGACACGCACAGAACAGATGGACAGAATGAGTACAAGAGACAGCATGGGAGGGACAAAAAAAGTAGAGAGATGGATACAAGCACATAACAAACAGACGGATCGAGAGACAATGATAGGGAGGGACAGACAGGAGGACAACAGGGGGAAGGCCGCGGGCCGCCTGCACCGCCGCCGTGACCGCCGCGTGCCTTGTTGATCATTTCGAGCGTGCACTCGAAGACGGCGTCGAAGATGTGTGGGATCTCGGCGGTGATGTGGCTCTCCAGGCGGTTCACCACCGTCGCCATGGTGGCCAGCACCTCCGGCTCGCGCGCCGCCGCCACGTTGCGCTGGTAGTCCAGCAGCACGGCGTCGAGCAGGGGCGGCACAAAGTTCTCGGCCACCTGCGAGGGATAAAACATAGACAAAGGTTCCCCCCCCCCGGATAGCGTTAAGAGACTTTTGGGGCAAGTGCTGTCAGCGAGCAGCACCTGTAAAAACCGGCACGGCACACGAGGGGGCGGGTGGCCAGCACCACGCCCTTTGTCTCCCCCAGTGGTGATGCTTGCACAACCACGCCAGGTACTAATTGAGGCTGAGTCGACCTAGGGGAATCCCAGGACCGGTGCAGAGATAATTGTCACTGGTGTTGGCCGTGAGTGGGAATCGTCACTGGTGTTGGCCGTGAGCGGGAATCGTCACTGGTGTTGGCCGTGAGCGGGAATCGTGAACTCGGGTCGCCGGGTTTGTAGCGCAGCGCGCTAACAGCTACGCGACTGCTCCCCATACCTGGACGGGATGCACGCGGGGAAACAGCCGTGCCACTAGGGTTGCGCGCATGTCCGCGGGCAGGCTGTGTCGCTACGGTTGTGATGAAGCAACTAGGGCAGTGGGGGGTTCCCAACTTGTGGCCCACGGACCACCGGGGTGATCTAGTGGTCTGCAAAGGCTGAACACCGTTGCAGATCTTACGAGTTAAGAGAAGGTTTAAAAATATATATCCGCTATTGTATATACATATGTTGAATTCTTTCGCACCGTACGTAGTCAACCGTGCTAATTGGAGGTGCGGGGGAAGGACAACAAACTAAACACAAAAAGCAGTTGTAAAGAAATTAGTTTTCAATCTAGATAGAAAAATTAATTGCTCCAGTGGCTTCCTAATTGGTGCATGGTTGTTCATTGAAACCAAAAAGTTTAAAGTTGACCATGTGCCCTTTGAGTCCAGAACGGTTGGTGACCGTTGCACGAGGGCAATTGTAGGGCAATTGTTGCCAGAAATTATTACCGTCCACTAATTTACTGTGTAAGTACGTTGAACTTCTTTCGCATCGTACATAGACGACGGTGCTAATTGCAGGTAGTGTGAGCAACAATGGCTATTCCGAACGATCCTGGATCGATTGTGATGATGAACGCCGTGAAATCAACAACTGCTGCCAGACGAACGACACGGACATGAACACAGTGGGGGTAAAGAGGGGAGAGAGGGGTGGGCGATGGACGCGGGCCGCACCATCTTGGGGTCGGTGGAGCGGCTGACCCAGTCGGAAATGAGCTTCAGCGTCTCCTTCTTGACGGTGCGCATGCTGCGAATCAGTGGTTGTTTCGTCACGATCTCTCCTGCCACCGGGAACGGAGAGGAGGTGACGGAGACAGGCAGAGTTGAGGAGGCAAGCAAGATGCACATTTTCCCCTCTATCCTGACGAAACTTACACAACGCCTCCCACTTGGAAGCCCTGATCACATGAGGTTACTTAATGAGGCTTGAACAGAGTTGACCACATGCTTGTCAGCGTGGGTTAGTGAAGGCGAGGAGCATACATGTGGGGGGCATATAAATACAGCGCAACAACTTATTCTGCTGCAATGCCCTCTGGTACCTACAAAGCAGGCTCGCAGCAAACCTACAAATCCTGTTTAGCAACATGGTCGCCCACGCAAGCATTGTCCAGGCTCAAACCTGCTGAGCTTCCGAGATCCAATGAGATCAGGCGCAGCAGCATTCAGGTTGATTTGGCAAATTCCCCAAATATTGTTCGTAATCCTAAACAACATGTCAAAGAAAACACCTCCCCCGCCCCTCCCCACACCAATGTAGATGAGCTGAGCATCGGTGGAACGCAACAGAGACTCGCCGGGGGCGGGTGGGCGGAGGGGAGGGTGCCGTTACGGTGGCTAGGGGAGATGTTAACTCCCTCACCTGGTATACGGGAGGTCGTTGGTTTGATCCCGACCCAGACGCCTGCTGTATATTTGGAGTTTGCGTGTCTCTCTCTCTCTCTCTGTGGTCGTGTGGATTTTTCTCCGGGTCCTCTGGTTTTTCCCTCCCACATATAGATTCAACGTGCGCTTAGAGTATTTGGCTGCTATAAATGTCCACGTGATGATAAGTCACTTTCTTGAGCTATCATTTGATAACCAGGCATTACCTGGTAAAATAAAAAAAATAGTAGATTCATTTATAGTAGTTACCGTTGGCCTGCACGGCGGTGGAGATGTTCTCGCTCAGGCACTTGTAGACGTTGAGCATGTCCAGGTAGACGCGGCCCAGCTGCACCACGAAGGGGTGGCCCACGGCGCGACACGCGCGCACGTTCGTCTTGAGGATGTTACCCAGCTGCTTCACAGTCTCCGCGTCCTTCAGGATGTCCACGTTCTGGGAGGGAGGGAAGGAGGGAGGTCAGGCGGTGACAGCATGGATGGGACGTCGTAGCGTTCGCACGAGGCCCTCTGGTTATAAACTCGGCCTCGTCTTAAAGCAAGGGCACCGCGTCTCTCCGATGTGATTTCAGGTTGTGCCGCGCGTTTTTTGCATCATGTCTGTGCCGGGAGCTTCTTAAGCACACGCAGAGTCGGACAATACAGCATGATTACTTCATACTGCTATGCCATTTACACCGCAGCAAGGAGCGCCGCCCAGAGGTGGACAATAAATGTTTGTATAACTCAAGTTTCGCCATCTCACATGGTACCAGCAAGTAAAATATTTGATCTGCGCCATGGATTACGTGGTCCACTCCACACGACCTCGATGTGACACCCCTGTTGGCACGGGTGCCGTGGTGGGATCCGGTGTAGTCGATGATCTCACCTTGGTGGCCTGGTGGATGATGCTGTCCCACACTTGGTTGGGAAGCAGCATATACTTCTCAATGAGTCTCTCCTGCAGCACCTGGTCGGTCTGGGCGCCTATCATGTAGCCCACCGCCTCGTAGAAGGTGTGCACCTACACGCACGCACAAGACAAAGATCCCCCGTATAGCCTCAACAGACTTCTGGGTGCAAGTGCTGTTAGCGAGCAACTATGAAGGCCGAAACAGCACACGGCGGGGTCGGTGACCAGCACCACTCCCGGGCCGCCTTTGTCTACCTGGTGGCGATGTTTACACACCACACAAAGTACTCATTTGAGGTTGAGTCGACCTAGGGAGGCCCAAGACCAGGTTCAGATAATCGTAACTGGTGTTGGCTGTGAGCGGGAACTGAACTCGGGGTTGACGGGTTTGAACGCAGTGCGATGACCCGCTACCCTACAAAGGCAAAGTAATTTTCTGCTTAAATTGGCACTGAAGTAGTGCTCTTCTCTTGTTAAGAGCATTCCTATGATGGAGGGTGAGTCTAACCAGAGGGCAACCGCCGCGGACTTCACCACAAAGTGGTACTCTAATTTAAGGGAATTCGGACATACGATGGGCTGAGTCAACCCCCAGCCAGGATTTGAACTTGCGTGCTTGGTGAAAATGAGCAAAGTGGGGTGACAACTCCAGGAGTGTCACTTTCCCCAAACCCACACCCAGCCCCTTCCCCCAAGCCCTGTCAGCACCTGCTGCGGCTGCAGGTCGCAGATGATGGTGTTGATGCCGTTGAGGATCTCGTCGATGAAGGGCATCACCTCCCCGGCTTGCACTTGCACGAAGTGGCGGCGGCACTTCTGCGCGATTTTGATGAACGTGTCGCACGCCATGTCCTGCACGCCGTCGTGCGTCTCTGCAAAGGGCGAGCGAGCGAACGAGTGACTAGGCGGGCGAGCGTATGAGCGAGCGAGCAAGTGAGAGAATGCATGTGCGATTAGCACGATTGACTATGTACGGTGCAAAAGAAGTCCAACATACATACATACAAAACGAACGAATGCACGAGTGCACGAGCAAGCGAACGCGGGAGTAAGCGATTGGATGAGCGAGTAGGTGAACTCACGCGTGAATAAGTGAGGGAGTGAATGAGAACGCTAATGAGGAAACGCCTGAATGAACTAGGGTTTCATAGAAGCACGATTCGTGACAAGCGTAAGAATTATAAAATTGTAATCGAGGGCTCCATGCATCGCTACAAACTGCCTTTTTGTGTTTAGTTTTGTCGTCCTTCCCCCGCACCTCCAATTAGCGCGGTTGGCTACGTACGGTGTGAAAGAAGTTGAACATATGTACGTACGTAGAAGCACTCTGCGCTCACCGTGCATGAACTCAAAGAGCTTGTTGACGACGGTCTTGAGGAACTTCCAGTGGGCGCGCAAGAAGCGGGGGTACTGCCCCACGACGTACATGATGTTGGAGGCCACGATGGCCTTGTTGTCTTTGCCGCGCTTCTGCTCGCAGAGCCCCAGCAGGTCCTAACGAGGTGAGGGGGGGGCAGTCACAAAGGTTAACGAGTAGAGAAAATGAGGGTGGGGGTGGAGGAGAAAGCGAGGCACTCACGTGGCGTGTGATGTCATCGACCTTGGGCGAGAAGGCTTAACTATCTAGCCATGGGTGCTTTTTAGTTTTCATTAAGTTTAGGGGAACCGTTCTTGGGCAAGCCCCGCACAGAAAATTACTTGATGCAGTAAAAACCCGGACTAATGGGGGGGGGAGCATTGGTCTGGCGAGCTAAAAAGTCCGGCTAGTTGCTACGCCAAATAAAGAGCGATGAAATACATTGCTAATAACCATGTACATTATAACCAACATAAAAAAAACACGTCTGAAATTTATTACAATTCATTTTGCATTCATTTATTCCACCGTAATATAAATTGTAAAATAATGATGGTAAAATACTGCAGTGCTGTGCTTATTGCATACTCCGTTGTCGTATAGTTTTATACAGTACTCACCATTGCAGTGTGTCGCCCTCCAAAGCAAAAGCGGAGTTAAAAAAATCAACTAACCAAAAACACAAAAAAACGCTAAAAGGGACAAAATAAAAAAAACAATTAACCTAAAAGCAAAGTGGGAAAAAAAAAACACTAATAAACCCCTCACCGCTAACACGGCACAAAGGAGTACAACAAACGCCAGAAAGTGAGTGAATGAAAGTGCTGCAGAGGAGAGCGGGCGAGAAAGAAAATTGCGGAGCTCGGAATGCAAAGATGAGCACCAACTCAACTACCACGGAATGGTGGGAGGATCTTGAAATTCAACGAGGACACGTAGCAAAACTGTTGCTTACCCCACACTGCCCTTCCCTGACCATGCCATATGACAGAGGAAGAACCACACGCAAACATGGTGTGGGGGGTTGGTTGTGTAGGGGGCCCTTGACTCATGCCACATGCTCCAGGTGGCTGTGGAGGCAGTGGAGAATTATGTTATTCTTTAGCCGGCATCATCTCCCGTGGATGAATTGTGAAATCCGGCGAGCCTGGGGTTTACCGTATGAACATTCTGTTCGCATTGGATCATCTTAAAGAGAGTGATCGTGTTTGCGACAGAGACAGACGGACGGGCAGAAAAAATAAGAATAGGCTTTAACTATTCTGCCAATGAAACAGGTTAAGCTGTTCAAACACCAAATAGATACCTATTGCAAGGCGTCAAGTTGACATTAACCACACATACTTGTGGCAAAACATGCAAACATTCTCTGATAATATATGCATTGTCCTTGAAACTGATTGTCCTACACCAGAGACAGCCTTTATTATTGCCTTGTCTCACCAGTGTTAGCTAGACCAGAGAACACCTTTTTTGCGTTCTCTCACCAATGTTAAGACATCTTAACGCCTGTTTTATTGCCACAAAGGGTATAACGCCTATTCTTCTTCTTTCATCATTGTGATAATGGCAAAAAAGGTCCCGTAGAGGCAGAAACACAGCGCAAACGCATTCACGCGTTCACAACCACAGCTGGAAAGAGAGATGGAGACGTCGAACCCTACTCAACGTTCCAAAGATACTGGATCACCTCTACGAGAGTTTATCTTCAACCCTGTTACAGACAGACAGACGGAGACACAGACGGAGACACAGACGGAGACGCAGACAGAGAGACGCAGACAGAGACACAGACACAGACAGAGACGCAGACAGAGACACAGACACAGACGGAGACACAGACGGAGCGCATCCCATTAGCGCTGTCAGCCTTCGTCCGACAGAGCGCACCTTGATAACGGTGACGAGGAAGCGCTTCTCATCTTCCTCGTGCATGGCGCCGCTGATGGATCCGATGGCCCAGCAAAGCGTGTTGAGGTTCTTCCACGACCACTCGACACCGCTCACCTGGGCCTGCAGCTTCTCCGTCATGATGCGCTCCGTGTCGGTGTAGTCCAGATGCGTCAGGTACACTGCACGCGCAAACAAATAAACACCCCCCGTTTCGCCTTAGACAAACTGTTGGGGAAAGTGCTTAGCGAGCAGCGCCTATGAAGGTCGGCACGGCACACAAAGCGGTGGGTGGCCAGCACCACACCCACCCGACTTTGTCTCCCCGGTGGCGATGTTGACACAACGAACCAGGGTACTCATTTTTAAGGGCGAGTCGGTCCAGTACCATTTCAGATGATCATCACTTGTCTTGGCCCTAAGCGGCAATCGAACTCGGGTCGCCGGATTCGTAGTGCAGGGAGCTAACCATTACTGCCCCACCAATCAATACCAATAACCGCCATTCGCCGCTAAGAGACGGTGACATCACCACAGCGCCTGTGCCAGGCCAGGTGCATTCTGAGGCCACGCAAAGTGTCGAAGGCTCGCTGTCCTTGCACACACAAACACAAAGATCCCCCCCGCCTCGTGCGGCCTTCAAGAATGCTGAGGCAAGAGCTGTTTCGCACAAACCGAAAGAAGGTCGGCATAGCGCATGAGGAGGTGGTGTGACCAGAACTGCGCTTAATATAGCGGCTGTTTAGCAGAGCATTCAAATGACAATCGCGAGGTCGGAGTTCAAATATCGATCAGAGATGAATTCAGACCATAATCTCCCTCAAATCCACAAAACAAGTCCCATGGCGAATAAGAGTGGATTATTTAATAACCTTACTCATTTCACATAATTGACTGCTCTTGGCCACACAAAGCCACTGGCTCCAATAACGTTATGCCACCTTAACTGGTACTGACAAGTGAAATATCTGGCCTTGGCTCATGGTCTTAACTAATGAAATATCCATCGCTGGCTGAGACTCGCCAATAGCGATGAGCACCACCCTCCACGCTCGTTTGAGCACGGAGAGTTCTTTGACTTCAGAATCTTTATTTTTGCCGGAGGAAATACGATAAGCTGTAAAGCTCTTTTTTTCACAGATGTCCAGCATGCATGTTGAACTTCTGTCTTACCGTACGTAGCCAACTGTGCTAATCGAAGGTGTGATTAGTCGATGCGGGTCAAAAATTTACAACAATACAAAAGGAGTGCAAAGTATAGGAAAGGTAGGCGAATCACATTTAAATGCGCAATTTTTTTTATTTTACCAGGTAAAGCCCACTGAGCTAATAGCTTATTTCCCAGAAACGACCTGGGCACCACAAATGAAAGCAACCGGTCCGCGCGGGATCGTCATACCGAGCGTCTCCCTCATGTTCTTGTAGAGGCTGATGGAGTCCGTGTCCTTCATGAATTCCCGCACCACCTCGCCCTGGTCGTTCTCCACCACGAGCACCTCCTCCGGCTTGGCCATTCGGCACACCATGACGAGTCGTACCTGCACAAGCACCGGGATGCACGCGCGCACACCACCACCACCACCAACCACACGGTCCAGAGGGTGAGCAGAGGCAATCGGCAATCCCATACCCAGGATTTGGCAAAGTACGAATGATCCACCCAGCCACTGACCCACCCACACAGGTACTCATTTGAAGCCGAGTCGACCTAGGGGAGACCCGCCTATGATCGGTTCAGAAAATCGTCACTGTGATTTGGTTGAGAGCGGAAATTGAACTCGGGTCATAGCCGGGTTTGTAGCGCAGCCGCGCTAACTGCTGCAATACCGCCCCCCCCCCCACCCACTACCCTCCCAGTACACCCACCGACTCGTTTTTTCTACCTACCAACCCACCAAAGGATCTATGACCATACCTACCAACCCACCTACCAACCAATCTTTCACTTATTAATATATTGAGTTTTTCCAATGTCTTCATGTGGCCAATAGCAGTGAATTACATAACCATCAGTATGACTAAACTTTGGCTGCCTTATGTGGCAAACAATTTCTGCTCTGGCCGATGGGCTACAGGAACCCATCTACCAAACGAGCAAACCAACCGCTACCCACCCAGCACACCCACCTATCCATCCTGCATTACTCTGACCGATCCCACCCAGCCACTGACTCACCCACCCCCACCACTACAGACTCACCAACCAATCCACCTACTCAGAAACCCCACCCTCACCCACCCACCCACCCGCTCGATCGATCGCCCACCCGCCCACCTTGGACAGGACTGGCAGGTATATCTGTCGCCGGGGTGGAACGTCGTGGTGCGGGCTGCCGAGTAACAGCGGCGCGGCCGAGAAGGGGCTCTCGCGGTAGAGCTCCGACGCCAGGTGGCTCCAGTACTCCAGGCAGATCTTGAAGATCTCCGTCTCCTCCACCTCCGAGATCACCACCATGTAGTGCAAGGCCTACGTTGGGGCGAGAACGTCACGGTCGCGGGGCTATCGTCTCGCCTCCATCGCGGCGCCACCACACAGTCGCGGGGGCGAGGGTTCGCCACGGCATGTCGCAGAAGCTCGCCGCGCGAGCCCGGCAGCCGAGCTGGTCAAATACGGCGGGCGTGTTGACGGCCTCGTTTGCAAATAGTTGCGGGTGATTTCATCTAGAGTATCGCAGGTATACCATTTTGTTTAACCAGGTGACAACTCAAGCGACGTAGTCTCTTGTACAGGGAAATTGAGTTCTCAGGTCCATGCGGCGTGCAGCCGTTTCAATACGGGGATTTTTTTTATTTGTCTATTGTTTGTGTTTCTCCTTTGTGATGGACTTTGTAGGACGAACGTTGAGATTTATAAGGGCACGGAGTGACCAATAAGGTCTGAATTGGTCTGTAATAAGGTAGGCACTGATTAGGGGTTCACAGGTGTGGTATACTAACCAGTGACCGTTATTCACAAAGGAGTATGGCCATGTGTGCTGGTGTGCCACTGTTCGATTTTGAAAAATTACCTGCAAATTACTTATTTGAAATAAACCATATTGCAACATCACCGCGTACTGGCAGGTTAGACTTGTCTGTGAAACATGGCACCTTTGTGACAGCCTTGTTCTCTTGGAATGTTACAAATACCAAATATGATGAGAACTCAAAAGAGCAGGATATTTTCACTTGCAATAAAAGCATTAAAATAAAAGTTAAACAACGAAGAAAATATATTATTGTAAAAAAGCCCCTTCGCAGGTTCCATTTTATAGGCGATATATTTAACAGTAACGTATTTACAAGGCGAGAGTACGACTAACACGTTCACAAGGCTGTGACCATCTGCAGCCACGGTGGTTCCCACTAGATTAATCTCGAACAGTCCTTCTTGATGGTTTCCACCATGCAGATCTCGGACAGTTGGCCCGATGGTTTCCACGATGTCGATCTCCAACATTCGGCCCCGATGTCGGGGCAGTCGTCCTTCAGTCCCCGAGCCGGGCCTCGCTCCCCCTGATACGCGTGCTCCGCCACGCCCCGGTAACTTCCAGCACTTTACCCCGGTCGATTCTTCCAACAGACTCCACCTTCCCTTCTCGAACGTTCCCTCGTACAGTACACCCTGCACTTGTTTCCACCCATCTCCACTGACCCCACTCTAAGCCTTGCCATGTACAGCACCCTATATTATTATAGCAAAGGAGGGAGGGGGGAGGGGGAGTAGGGTCCTCACCTCGAGCAGCCCCTCGCGGAGGTCGCCGCGGCGCTCCACCAGCGAGCCGTGCTCCTTGAGGAAGGTGCACAGGAAGAGGCTCAGGTTCTGGATAAAATTCTGCTCCTCGTCCTTGCCCGTCGCGTACGCCAGCCGGATGTTGGTCTGCAGCGGTAGGATCTGTGCCGCGACGAGGATCGACAGTGAACACGGAGAGGGGTGAGAACGTCGCCTTACTTTACCCCTTTTCCACTGGCGCATTCGAGCCGAGACTAAACCGGGACACGCTGGACTCGCGAGACATTCGAAACAAGCAGGGAGGGTCTGAGATAACGATGTGTTCATCGCGTGTGACGTCAAGTAAGCGCAATCCCGAGGACACGGCTCCACCGCGGGGAAACAGTCCCGACTCGTCCATTGGCGCGGCGCGGCTTCTGCAGTGTAAAAAATAATCTGCATCCTGGCACCTCCTCCTGAGCCTTTCAAATGCGCTATTGTTCACCAAAAGATCACTACCGCTCCCCACTTTATGCAAAGATCCCCAAGTATAGCCTTACTAGGCTATTTGGGGGCAAGTGCTGTTAGCAAGCACCTATGAAGGCCGGAATGGCACACGAGAAGGTCGGTGATCAGCACTACGCCTGGTCGCCTTTGTCTCCCTCGTGCCAATGTTTTAACACACCGCACCAGGTACTCATTTGAGGCCGAGTCGACCGAGGGGAGGCCGAGGACCTATTCAGATAATCATCATCGGCGTTGGCCAGCAGCGGGAATGGAACTTGGGTCCCCATGTCCGTAGCGCAGCGTGCTAACTGCTACACCACTGTTCCCCACACCGACTTTATATACACACACACACACACACGTATGGATTGACACAGCTGTGAGTGAATGGGGCTGGCACCTGTTTGAGCTCGGCCATGGTGATGCTGAAGAGGGTGGCGAACTGCTCCTCGTACTGGCTCACCCGCACGCCCGCCACCTCCGTCAGGCACTTGAGCGTCACGTTACGGAACATGGGTACGTTGAGGAACTGCGGGGGAAGGTGCACCTCCGATTAGCACGGTAGCTACGTGCAGTGCGAAAGGGGTTCAACATGCACACACATACATCCAAACGAGCGCCAACGTATATAAAAGGAAAAGCTGCAGCCCTGCAATTTCTTGACCATGCCACTGCTGGCAGGAGGGAGCTCCAGAGAGCCCCTCTAAAGGTTACTTGGGCCACATGTTTTTGAAGAGGTGAAAGTACCCACACTTCATCCCACCACACATGAGTTGCTGAGTAAGTCCAGTGCGCTAATCGTTACACAACGGCAGCATCCCATGCCAACACAATTCATATGAAAAAGCTGCTGCAAGTGCATACAACCTCATACCTGTCAAGCCCTTATCAGTGCATACCTCATTATAGACCGATTCAGATATTGTTGGTCACCCCATGCCCTTATAAATCTCAACGTTCATCCTACAAAGTCCCATCATAACGGAGAATCAAAAAAAGGCAATGTGTTTTTTTAATTAAATTTCCCTGCACAAGAATACAGGTAAACCGTATGGATTGACAGGCATGCAACCTGTGCAAATGCATTCACTCAGAAACAAAAGGTTTAAGCGCCTCCCCCTGTTCAAACGAGCATCAGGTGATGTTCACCTCCATTGGTGGTTTTGACCTCTTAATCAGTGGTGGATATTCAACAATTCTACAGTTAGGGTCTAGTTTCTCCATAGGCCAACAAATACCGGCTTACCACAAAGCAGTACTTATTTTATCGACCCAGGTATGTTCGTGTTTTTAGTCGGCCACCAACTAGGACTTGAACCGTCATTTCCTTGCGATTGTGAGAGCTGGGGCATCTACCAGTGCCACCCAGCTGGATTAGCATAGGCTCTGGGTGTCAATCCTAAAATGCCAAACCACCTGGTGGCCATAAAACCCCTCCCCGCCCCCCCCTCTTTATATCGTCTCACCTTGTAAACGAGGACGCTGATGAGTTTCGTCTCAAAGATGTACCCGAGAGGAATCCAATTCAGGAAGCGCAAAAGTGTCTCTAAGGTGGCGGCAACAAGTGGTGCATTCTGGGAGTTTTCCTGCAAGGGAATACAAAAAGCGAGCATGAGGGTTTCAATGTTTGTTCTCGTGGGGCAAACAGCACTTGCAACAGTGGGCACATCCGTGAGCACACGGAAAACGTTCGATCGCCCCGCAAGTGTATCATCCGAGTTAGGTGCTCGTTAGCAGCTGTTAGCAACGCACTGGTTAAATTATTAGATACTCCTCACTCATCAAGGGTCAGTGACCACAAACCGATTACTTTAACAAACAATAAAAACAGATAACACGCTTGACGTTGTCAGTTGCATTCTATGTCAACAATACGGTCACTTGCAAATGAGACTACGTCGCTTGAGTTGTCACCTGGTTAAACAAAATCGATAAGAAACGATTTTAGAGCTTAATTGACAGGTTTCCCATTGCCCGTGTTTTTGTTTAATCCAGCCCTTCGTTCCCACCCTGGCAGCAGAGCTAAACGAGCATTGACCTACATTAATTTTGAAGGAGCTCCACTGTTATTTCACAAGTGCAATTAAAATACGTTTAGTTTTGTTTTATTAAAGAGTCAACTTTCACACGTCAATTCAGAGTGCAATAGCAGAACAACATTGACACCGACTCACCATGACAAACTGGCAGAGCTGGAACACTTGTGAGAACTCGTTGCACATGCTGGGGACACATCACCCGCACACGATCAGCATCTCGTCGCTCGTACAGGAAATATATATTTGCATATGGTTTTGTCAAAAAGCATAATATGTCACAAAAGTTTCAGGCGAAGGAGATGTATTTTTAAATCCTTTATATTAAGTTCGCTTGCTTGCTTACGACCGTGCAAATCTTTCGGTCATTTTTTAACCCACTTCCTGTGATCCAATCGAGCTGACATTTTCCACACAGACTCGTGCGTGACAATTAATGTTCGTGAATTTTTTTTTCCAAAATTTTACACTTTTTAGCACAAAAATATTATATTTAATTACCAATTGCTTAATGGTGCAATGCAATCATCTGACCCATAGGTGGCAGCCATCTCAAGCCAAAGGACGAGAGGACTCTAGCCGCCACGCATATAAAGGATTTATAATGAAAAACTTTGTTTTTACGGGTTATACTTGTTACACGCTTTTATTTAACTCACTCTGTCTGTTGTTGTTGTCGTATCCTCAAATCTTGTAACTCAATTTTAACCCACTTCCCAATGTGGTATCGACTGCAAAACTTGGTATACTTATGTCATACTGATGACAATACTATATTCTATCATTAAAAATAAACAAAAATATTATTAAACCATCTTTTTTATATGTTATGTTTCGGCTTGGGTCTAATTGTCCACACTCAACTGACGTTGGCTGTAAATCACCACGGTCCCTTACGTTATGGCAAGCTTCGGGCCACTTCCTGGAGTTGTGGAGTTTTGCCATTACTCGTACAGTACATTTCATTAAAGCGTGTTTAAAAAAAAACATTTTAAAATATTACTTATTTATAATTAAATATCGTTTACACTAATAATGGAGAGGAAGATGTGTGGCTTAGAAGGCACTTGTACTACCATGTCAGAAGAGCCACAAATGGAATACATTTCTCCAGGCCTCGAACAAAAGAGGGCACAACCACATTGGGCAGTGTTTCTTAACCTATACTGCAGCCTTGCACCAACAGTTGGTTCTCAATCGTTTAAAAATGTACAATGTTAATGAATACATAGGTTTGATGAAACAAAGTAGTTGTACTTACGTGCCCATACTTAATTTGTGTTTTCGATTATTTACCTTCTAGAAAATCTGGCCATGTCTGGCACCCCAGAAAGGGCATCTCACACCCCCAGGGGCTGTGTGCACCCCAGGTTAAGAACGACTGACATTAGGCCTGTGTTTTGTTGCAAATAAAATAGGGGGTCCCACGTGGCTATTCTGGTCTGGGCCTCCAGCACCAGTCTTGATTGGAGAGAAATCATACCCAAAGAGGTTGAGAACCACTGGTGAAGAAACAACCACTCGTCAATTGGCTGAAAACATCTTAATATTTAGAGGACCGCAGAGCTTGAGCAATTGTTGGCGCCGGCCTCACCGCCTGGGCCGCTGCCTTCCTGCTCGTCTGTGGTTCCTCATGCCTCCGAGTCGTTGTCTCTCGTCAAGAGCGGGCGACTACTGTGCTGCGGCGGGACGTTAACTACCTCGCCTGGTATACAGGAGGTGGTGAGTTCAAACCTGACCCCGACGCCTGCCGTATATTTGGCATTAGCGTGTCTCTCTCTCCCCTCTCTCACCGTGGTCGTGTGGATTTTTCTCCGGGTCCTCCGGTGTTTCCCCCCCCCCCCCGCCCCCCCACATTTATAAACGTGTGTTTAAAGTATTTGGCTGCTATAAATGTCCACGTGATAAGCCACTTCGGTGAGCTATCATTTGTGGCCAGGTCGCCTCTGAAAAAGAGCTATACAGCTCAGTGGGCTTTACCTCGTAAAATAAAAGAAATAGTTTAGCTTTAAATTTTGATTTAAAGCTTTCGTGACTGCAGGGATTCATATTCTTGGTTCTTTCGGTAAAGTCACGTGGAAGGGAAACAATGAAATTATAAAAATATAAAACAATAAAATTATCACGACGTTTCGATTGCAACAAAAGCAATCATCATCAGGTGTGGTTTTCACACCTGATGATGATTGCTTGTGTTGCAATCGAAACGAATTTTATTGTTTTATATTTTTATTATTTTATTGTTACCCTTCTACGTGACTTTACCGAAAGAACCAAGAATATAGTTTAGTTTTAGTTTACAAAGTTGAATGCTTTGGCAGTTTCTAACCGCCAACGGGCTTTTGCCTGTTGAGAACCCATCACGGCATCGGCAAGGGCACAGGCACCACGGAGCTGCGTGTTTTTTTATTTTATCTCGCGAGGTCTCTCACCTGTCCTTGAGGTGCTTGGCCTTGAACTGAGTGAGCTGCCCACTCGAGAAGTCAAACACCTCCTCGCTCAGCAGCTTCAGGATGGCCATGTTGTTCTGGCACAGCGACTCGGACGTGCGGCTGGCACCCACGATGTCGCTGATGAACGTCGGCCAGTTCTTCGGCCACTCCTGCTTCAGGATCTGTTGGGAAGGCACAAAGAACGGTCCATTTGTTTGTCCCATACCACTTCCCCCCCTCCATGGCAAAAAGGACAGGCTAAACTACGGAAATATTAGAAAAACAGACAAGCCGACAAGGTCTCATATTATTCTGTACTTTTATATAACAGTATTTTTTATACAACCCATTGGTCCAACGGCCTTCGGGAGTACATAATTCCAGCAGCAAACTCTAAACCAGGGTTTAGAGCTCTTTAAAGACTGCTTCGTGGCGTTATTTTTTTAAGGACCGTCTGTCTCGTATTCTGATGCATTGCAGCTCCTGAAATATTTTTTTCTACCAAATTCGAAAAAAATGTCTCTTCTTGTTTACCAACCACCGCTCTTCATCAGTGTCTCATCAGCAGAGCCAACATTGCTCGTGAACTGCCTGATATCAGACATTAACAACCTGATATCAGATATTAGCGTGGACTGACCAAAGGCTATATATATTTGTATTGTAAACGTAAGAGTTTAAGAATAATGTGAGGGTGTTTTAACTTGTTTATACATGTATCTTATAACTTGCGTAAGATTATTTGACAAATTTATATATAAAAAGACAAAAAAGGAGTGTTGCACAAGGAAGATCTTACCTGAACCAGTATCATGTTCAACTTTCCAATGTAAACTTTCTCTTTCTGTAACACAAAGCACAGACAACCACACAATTTCACAGCAACTGTAGCAATCACATTTCGGATATCACCTCCAAAGTGCTCCACTCATTGGCATCTAGTCCGAAAAGCAGCACCAATGCATGGATGCAAGGTACTGTATAGGACACGTGCCTTTGAGAATTCAGCAAGTTGGGAAAAATTACATATTACACGTGGATTACATCGTCTGTTCCAACATGAGTTTGTCTTGAATTGGCAGTATGGAAGCTGATGGGTAGCTGTCAGGGCAAAACGCGTTTGCAGAATTGTACATGACTATGGCATTATCAGACATACTTTAATGAGTAAAAAACGCTTTTAACCTTATTAACCCGAGTTACAACGCTTTCATAAAAACCGATTCCAAAGCAATGCACACCATCTATCACACTGCTAGCACGTGCCCGCTATACATATCATATGCACCGTTAATTGGTGGCCATCTGTCTGGCTTGTGATGATTAATCTACGGCAACATCTGGGGACTGCTAAATAGCGGGCATCTGTTAATTGGGGCGACTGGGAAAAACATGCAGCAGATGGAGTTTCATTTACACAGGGCGACACAGGCTGCTACATATGGGGCCATGAATGAGCCAGTTAAGTGGCTAATTGTAAATTCGATGATTGGCACATTGGTTAACATTTAAAACAAAAAATCCCTGCAAGGTGATGGACATCACATTGTACTGTATTGGGTTTATACTGGTAGGAACCCACTGATTAGTCGTGCATTATTGTGTCCGTCCGTCGTGCATCAAAAAATGGGAGGGGTGGGGCTGGGTGGAGAGGGGAGGGGCTGGGTGGGGACGGTGGGGCTGGGTGGGGGGTGGGAGGGGTGGGGCTGGGTGGGGAGGGGCTGGTCACCCCGTGGTGCCCTTATAAAACTCAACGTTTAACCTACTCACGCCAGCTTGTGCCCACCCTCAATCGGGCATATTTGCGGAATACACCACGCCGCCGTTGACCCTGGCCATTGACCGAGCAACCCAACGTTCCTACCAGCTCCCTCCGCAGGAATGTGTTTTGCGAGTCTGTATGTGAGCCTAATTGTAACAAGCATCAATCGTTGTCCTATCACAGGCTTCTGCAGGAGACACCGTTGCCACTAAATGGCTTTTTCCCAACGTCACATACAGCAATAAACTCAATGTGATGATTTTTAAATGTGATTAAAAGTTATAAACCAACACTACAAAGTGTAACAGCGTACAAATTGTAGACCCATTGTATACACCGGTGAAAGCAACAAATAAATATATTAACTACAAGCAAACTTTTGCTAACCATACACCTACTCATTCGAGCTTTAGTAGTTGCAACCGCAGTGCTTTCAACTCTTATCTGAAAGATGACCGACCTCAAGATTGATTGGGTCTTGAGACGTTTTAATCACCAGGCCCACAACATACTTCTTTATTCCTGCAACACAGCAACAGACAACAACGTTAGTCTCCGTTTTAACCACATTTTCATTTGTTTTGTTCTGGAAACTGTTTTGTTCACTGCGAGACATTCCTATCCGTGCCGTTCACTGGTGACCGGGCATGCGACGAGTAACGACTTTAACAACCCCAGTACAGGACACTCTCGATTATCCGCGTGCGGTTTATCCAATTTGCTGATTTTTTTTTACATAAATTAATCATTCATGGATATTTTTCTTACGCCCCAAATTAATAATCTAAAAACGGTAATATATTGTTATTCTTGGAAATGCTTACTACAAGTCACGTGCTTAAATCGGACAAATATATTGCTCGGGTTGATCCGATATCCACGCGTGATCGCCCCTACAGTACAGTAGTTGCATATCTTTACAATGGTGTGCGGAGTTTGATTGATGTTGATTGGCGTGGCTCTGCTGTCCACTTAGTGGGCCGAGTCTTCTGTGTGGGTAGAAATAAGTGTTATCTTCGAGCACGCGCATCGATCGTGCGTATTCGTTCTTAATTTCTACTTATATTCGTATTTTTTGGCATGGATATCCACGGATTATTAATAGTTTGGGATTATCCGCGGCCGTCCTCCCGTCATTAGCGCGGATAATCGAGTCTAGTGTAGTAACGATACTGGTGCCGAAGACTCGTGTTGGGTGGGCCAGTGTACAGCCTAACACCACCAGGGGGCACTTGTGCATCACAAATTAAGGCAGGTTCAGCTGTGGGCATGCACTTCAGGAATAAGCACGTGGGAACAAGCCAGACCGTGCAACATGGAAAAACATACACTGTAACACACGTGGCGCGCTTTCACTTCCATGAGCGAGTTGTTAAAGATATATTCCTGATATAAATATCGCATTAAATGCGAAATTCATTGCAAAGGTCTTATTTGCTCATTTCTCCGAACGCATGAAACACGAGATTGAGGACTCTGGGAATATCAAATTGAACTTTTTTTTTTTACATAAAAATGTTGAATCCTGAAAATGTTAATTTAGGAAACGTTTGCCTAATAACTTCAACAACATTTGCCCGGAAGGCATGTCAATCAAACGCTGCCTGATTTACCAGATATTATTGATTGGCAAGAGCTCTCAGTCTAAACAACGGAGGACCTCTTTCAAGGCTAATTTAATCATTGCGTGTAGGCAGCTTTCTCATGGCACTTAGAGTGGAACCAACCTGTGCTTTTTAAACAGTGTTGTTTTGTTTGTCAGTGATCGTCCCCGTCAAACACTGCCACAAATTTTACACCGTTTGCACTCCAAGTTGGTTGGACATTAGCAGCCCTTGAGCAAGATATGCTCTTGCTTTGGAGCCGTGGTAAGGTGGGTCCCCCCCATTTCATTAGTAACCTGGAGAGAGAACAAAGTTTTGCCTGCAGGGCAGAAACCCTGGAAGGTAGTAATATTAGCTTTGAAGTGTTTTTTTTTACAAGGGGCATGCCACACATTCATAGGGGGTTGAGTCATACAAGACGCAGGCAAGCATTCGAGCAAACGCACGTAAAAACGCACCAGCATTGAAAGCCAATGGAAAATAATCACGTTGACAATGTCTATTGAAAGACCAACTTGTTTTCGCTTCCAATAAATAAACTTTCATTTCGTCCTCTAACATATTTGTTTTTGTTGTTGAAGCTCATGTGTGTTTGGCAGCGACGCAAAATCAATTGTACTCCGTCAACCCACCTCAACCCACCCCCCCACCGCCTCAGTACGTTCAGCAACCGGCAATGGCCAAAGTGGTGAAGTATGGTGAAATATCCTTCACGGCCAGCACGGCATGGAAGGCCTTGGACCCAGCAGTAGATTAACAAATGGGCAAAACGTGTACATCAAAGGCCTTGGTCAATCCACTGCTGGATGAAGGCCTCCCTAAGATGCTGTGATGTAACAATCCGTCTAGCACCTTGCATGTGAACCGAGATTGTATCGCTCCATCTCCCCAGCGTTCGTGCCAGCATTGTTATTTTTGACCATCAGCCATCATTCCCCCTCGTAGCGACAACGCATCCTGCCCAAGCCCACTTTACGTTTGTTATCAGCCTGGTGATGTCACAACTATTACCCTCAACTGTTATTTGTCTCATGGTGTCCCATGGAATTTGGACTCGCTATTACTCAAAACATGTGGGTTGCCACACAGTGGCAACTGTGTAATCATCTTTGGCTTACTTATGACTGCTACTCGCGTGAAGCCTGAGGATAGTGTTTACAAATGGAACAACAAAGGTCTGCCGGCCAAACGGCTATTTTAACTCTTTAGCCAACTCGTACTTTCTGATGTGTACATCTACGGATGCATGATCCACTGCTGGATGCGATGTGTACTGATTATAATCCAAGTGGAAATACAGGACACATACGCACACAAATATTCCCCTTAAAAGCCTTAATGGACTTTGTCTCTCTAGCGGCGACGTTTACACAGCGCATCAGGTACTCATTTGAGGCTGAGTTGACCGAGGGGAGGCCCAGGACCTGTTCAGATAACCGTCACTGGTTTTTTGGCCGTGAGCGGTAATCGAACTCAACAGGCATGCACACGTGCTCCGACACAAACAAACAAAAAACTACAAACAAGAAATCAACATGAACACCGGATGCTCCCGTGCGATAACATCAACAGACCCTCCCCTGAAGAGCGCGCAACTACGAAAGGGCAGGTATTAAGAAGCGAGCGCCACTTGGTAAAAAAAAAAACTGCTTCGGAGTGCGTTCCAAAGAGCTCTCGTCACCCCCACAAGTCGCTCGGCCTGGCAGCTGAGCCAGGGGGCCCATCATCATTCTCGTGCCGTGCCCAGACACGCACTCTCCAACGTCCCGATCTGCCGGAGCGAGGCGGGTGGTGCCAAACCCGATTACACCGAGCAGGCCCCACGCACGATAATTATCTAAGAGCAGTGATCCTCAAGTTTTTGTTTGGCCACTGTGTGTGCCTCCCCCCCCTCCCCTTGCCTGACCCAACATGGTTCTGAGAAATAAATGTATGAATTAACACTAATATTTGAACCAATTGTCCATTTTGTGCGGTATCCTAACTAGCAAGTAACCGCGAGCCGAATACAAAAATATATTCAACATACGCTCTGCATGTGTGACGTAATTTATAATTACGCAATCCAACCTAAAAAAACCCTCTTATGGATATTGATCGCGAAAGCCTACATGTTATAAAGATGTAATTGTTCGCGCGCGGTTTACCCTTGTAAACCACATTGTTAATATATAATATGAAATAATGACTATCACGGATTACAATTTCACACATTTATAAATCACCCTCCTGTACCCCCCCCCCCCCCCCAGGACATTGTCACGTACCCCTTGGGGGGTTCGCGTACCCCCGGTTGAGAACCATTCCCAGAACTACCAAGTGTCCAGATTTAGCCGGGGGGTATGGGGGGTGCAGAGCTGAGATATTTACTTTTTAACGCCCCAAAATGTCAAGCGGCCAGCAACCAACAAAAAGCGTTTTAGTAAAATGTTAATAGATTACAAGAGCCCATGCAGTTCTTGGATTGAGCAAGCATCTTTTAAGAGTTTGGAAAAGGAGACGATAGGGAGGGAATTCCCAAATGGAGCAGCGTGTGTGTGTGTAGCTACGTGCAGCTGCATGTAGTCCCGTCTCTCTCCACAGCTCCGTCTCTCTCGCTTTCTCGCCCTGTTTGTCTCTCTCTTATACTCCGTTTTTGTCTCTTTTGCTTCCTCTCACTCCATTTTTGTATTGTTTTTTTATTCTTGGACAGCATCAACCCACCTCAATGATGAAAATACAATGCGACACAACACTACATACACACTGCACCGAGTCGTTGTTGTATTTGTAATTCTTCTCTTGGTATATGGCTAGATTTTGTGTCAAAAGATAAACTTGAATATCGAGGTTTAGGAGCCAAAGAACGGTTTCACTTGTGGTTTTGTTGAATAGGCTAGAGGTTTTTTTTGCAAAATACACAGCCGAGTTTATGTGACAACGGTTTTCTTTTGGCATACCAATTTTCTCACCGCGGTGAGAGGTTCCGCGTATCCGCGGTTTAGCACGACGATCGGCGCTTGTGATTTCAAATCACCCCACAACCTGTGCCCCCCCCCCCACCCCGTGCGTTGTCTCATCTCCCAGCTCACGCCACGGATCTTTTCCCATCGCCAGGTGGAGGTAAAGCCCCCTCTTCCAACAGCCACCTCCCCGCATTAACCTCATTCCCACGTCATCGTCATCACCATGGACTTTAACCCTAGGTAAAGGTAAATAACATCATTTTATTGCTTTAAATTATGTTTTTAAACTTTTTTTTATCATGTTATTGTGTATTTTATTTGTGCTTAACGTAGGAAGGGGCAACTCAGTTAGGCTTTGACGAGTGTGGCCATGGCCGCGGTTTCCCTAACCCCCGATTTCCCATAAGGAGCCATAAATGACGTCACGCACCTGGGGGGGGGTCAGATATTTGTGACGATGTGTGACGAGGGGGGGTTTGAAAAATGTGACGTCACATCACAATGCGCAACTTTAAATAAATATAGACAACACGTTCTACTTAATTAAACAGACTTTTTTATAAATATTTTCTCTTACAACATTAGAGTGCAGCGCCACATTAAATACGCACTACGATGACAATAGTTTAAAGCGATTTGAAGCATGTTTTTTTTTTGAGGGGGGTCTGACTTTTTGTGACGCCGTGTGACGAGGGGGTCCAAAATCGCGTGACGTCATTTATGGACAGCCCTTAAGGCCTTGCACACCACGGCGGTTTTTCCAACGACGGGCGGTTTTCAGGAACCCAACCCCCGCGGTTGGCGAGGGATTGTTGTATCACGTTCTTGCATTCGTACGCAGGTCAGGCAAGGGACTGTGGGTGAGAGAAGCTTACCATCGCACTGGTTCCGCGGCAGGATTTTCCAGCGTGTCTTTATGACGTTCTCCAATATTTGCAGGGCGTAGTACTGTGACGAACATGTTGAAAAGGGGGAGAAATGCCAACGGTTAACCTTTCGCTGCTCCAACACCTGCCGATCATTCTCGCAATCTGCTCAAACGCGTCTCTCTTTCCCCTCCACGGTTGGTGCCAGGCATACATACGGGCAGACGTATAGGATGAATATTTTCCAAGCAATAGCTTCCAGGGTGCGCAACGCTTGAACTGCGGTACTCTGTTAGGTCTGTGAGGAATGGATGTGATAAATGTGGCTAAATCAGACAAAAATGTTGTACAACGATTTACGTTATTCAAAAAAAGTCCGTAGAAATTTCCTGCTCAAGTGAGCGTCAATGCAGTGCCCCATTTCCTGTTTATAGCCCCGAGCGGGTGACAGAAATTCCACTGTCCTATGGTAGGGGCTGAGTCTTTCCATAGGAAAACCACCGCTGAGTCCTCTGAAAAAATGGTAACTCACTTTACCAACCCCGGAGGGATGCGAAGCCGAGTCAACCGCCAAGCATTCATTTGCGCTTCGAAACCTTCCGATTGCATCTAGATTTGAAGCTTTCGTGACTGCAAGGATTCATATTCTTAGGGTTTTTCGGTAAAGTCACGTAGGTGAAATATTAAAATTTATAAAAGTAAAATAAAAAATAAAAATCACGTTTCGGAGATAACACAAGCTTCCGTCTTCAGGTGGAACCGTCACAGCACGATTGCTGTATCAACAGAAATTTATTTTACTTGATACAGCAATTGTGCTGTGACGGTTCCACCTGAAGACGGAAGCTTGTGTTGCCTCCGAAACGTCGTGATTTTAATTTTTTATTTTATTAATATTATTTTTTTACCTACGTGGCTTTACCGGAAAAAACCTAAGAATATACTTCCGATTGCGCTCGCTGGACCGGCCGGCTTTCACTCTCAATGGCCAGTTTCGCTTCATGATGACAACGATGTTTGTCACCGCCTCAAAGAGAAAGCATTCTCATTTATTCGGGTCAGCCATTGGTCCGAACGCGGAAACGATTATGCTTATTGAGGCCCCGCGGGGAAGTTGCACTGCAAAGGGTGGCATCACTCGGAGCTTGCGCGTTGTAAACCTGGCACCAATATACCAACGGCCCCCATTTGATGGCTGCTCCCTCAAGTCGGAGAACGTGACTGAGTACCAAAAAGATGGGTGTGCGATTTGATTGTTTTGGGTTTCTCACGGAGTGCAGGCTACGGCCCGGGGTTCAGACAAGCTGCTGGAACCAGTTTAAATATTGGTGTATTAAAAGAGCGCCTGCACCTGGTATAGGTAGAGGATTCATGATACATCTATGCATAATACTGTATATCGCAAGCATATATATGTTACTATGTACATTATACATTTTGCAGACATTTAAATACGTGCATGTGTGTTTCTATCTAGTCAATACAGCACACGTTACAAGCTGTACAAAATGCATACACATGTACAGACTAACATAAATAAGACTTAACACATTTGTTAGCCTATTGAAATGTACAATTACATTTTCTATTTACACAGCTACGTGAAAATATGTAATACAATGTTGGGGAAAATTATATTACATGTTGTTGTATATTTAATAGTTTTATAGTTAATAGTTTCATCATTTAGATGCCACGTAAATTTAGCATGCACTCTCTATAGATGTTTTATTTGACAGATTAAAATAGAGTAATTACTCAATTCGCAATGCGCATGCACGTTTTCAACAATTAAATAGAGCATAAAATACATAACTGTGTGCGGAATATCTTAATAGATGGGAGACCTGAGATTAAACTCTTGTCTCTAAAGCGCCACGTGAAAAATTGAGGGCAACATTGATAATATAATCAAATGCGGAATCAAGCGGACGGAATAGTGACTAGTCATAATTGATTTCTGGGTCGAATACCCTCCTCCACCTGACACGGCCAATTAACGTGTTCACGCAAACGGATGTGCCCATTACCTCTCTCGCACACTGGTATGTTGGGAGAGCAATCCACACACGTTTAACAATTTAGCACGGCGTTTCGCTCGGCAGCCACAACCATCATCAGCAGTGGCCAGAATTGTGAAAATGTCCTCCGGGCTCTGGGGACTTAAACGCGTGGTGTCGATGTCATGAATGTGTGCCCACGTGTAAAAGAGTAATGTTTAAAGTAAGCAATGGCAGATTGAAATATACCATATATATTTTCAACAACTTTTTTTTTACTTAAGCATTCAACAGACAGTGGAAAAGGTTTTCGTGGTGATTATCCAAGAGTTATCTCCTTTGTTTTTAGACAGCGAGGGAGAGAAAAGAATGCCTCATCAGAACGCGCCAACTTTAGCCTCTTTTAAAATTGCAGGGGAGGGAAAGATTGCGGTTGTTGTTTTAAAGGTTTAGTTAAGTAAAATTTAATAAAACTTCCAATTATAGTTAACCGGAAAGTTACACCGAATGCGCGGAACCATGATTAATGAAACTGCATGCAATATTATATTCGGCGGCGAAGTCGTTCAGCGGCAGAGAGAGCGGCTCAAAATCATAAGGTTGCGATTTGGAATCCTGGTTGGGGGTTGACTCAGCCCATCATTCCTTCCCGGGTCGATAAAATAAGCACCACCCAGTGAGGGGAGTTAACAGTGGGTTTCCTGTGGATAAACTTGCACCTCCCAAAGAACAGTGGAATTTTCAACAGTGATTCAGGGCTGTAAACAGGAGACGAGAGCACTGCCTCAATGCGCACTGGATCAGGAAATCACTTTTCACTTTGACTCTATGCCGCTTGCATGAGTGAGCTTATGTCTCAGCCCGTTGAGAAGTCACTTCGCAATATGAAAGAGGCTAATGAACAGTGGATCGCTGGCCTCAAGACTGAAAACAGCGCATGGAAGTTCGGGAGGAGTTAGGCCATTCTGCACGGATTGAACCAAGGGGGTTGTTGAACACAGGGATTCTGAAAATAATGAGAAAACCCATCAACCCAGAAGAATGGGTGCAGGCTGGAAATAAATACAGCAGGCAAAGGTGTGGTGTTGCTGCTTGCCAACAGCAGGAAGGCACGAATCCAATCCATATGCCTTGCATACACGTCACGTGACCATCACATTGCATGTACAAAGCGGTCAGCCTTGTCTAGACCACCAGCTCAAAAGGCAGCCCAATGTGCGGCCGGATCATCGTTTGGAAAAACCAACTCAAAAAGAGTTGAAAAACGAGGGGTGCCTTCAGGACAGACAGGGGTACTCAGCCAATTGCGTGAAATTGTTTGTGGCTCAGCCAATCACAAGCATTCCCTATTTGGCCAACTGAAAGAACCAATCGCATGTGAGCACTCGTTGCTGAACTGTGAGCGCAGAGCATTGATCGATAATTATTGAGCGTTATTGCGAGCGATTAGCTGAGCCGATCTTCTCCCTCCTGTGTTCGTTTATATAGCCGCATGGTTAATTCGTGACAGGAACAGATTGTAGTGTTTTGTACGATACAGACGAACGCTCGTGTTGTTAATATTTTTTTTAAACCTCATGATGCTAATCAAGAATGGCTTACCGTGTGGATGGTAAACGCCACAGCTATATCATGATAACCAGTTGGAGACAAGTGTCAATTTTTGATACCCAAATGGCAAGCCAATTAATAGAGACTGCTAGGGCTGTATAGGTCTCCGGATGCGTTTTCAGTTACTGAAAAATCTCCCGGCACGTGGAGCGAAATGTTGAGGACACCACACAAGACGCAGCACAGGGTAGAGATCATGCGTGCCAGTGTCATGGTCCAAATAAAAATTTGTTTTACTCACTAATCACTTCATTTGAATGACCAATTACAACATTCGCCACCCTGCTGGTAGAACAATGCCCAACTGGCAGGCTGGTGGCTGTGTGCACCTTGTGCCGTATGGGAGGACAAGCTGCCATTAGGGTGTCCCCGAGGGGAAAACCATGAAAAAAAATTGCTCCCGAGACAATTTGTTACGTTACGGATGCAATACCAATGCAAGCTGCTTTTACGTTAATACAACTCAAAAATACATCAGAGAGTTAAAGAGACTATCTGACCTGTACACGTGTGGTGCATCTGCCTGGTGACGTGCAGTTGCACATGCCTAAGTAAGGTGATCCTTAATTTTCTCCAGATAACAAAATAGTGCTTTTATTGTCATTTTCCATTTTCCTGCAGCTATTCAAATGTAAAACAACCATCGCTAGCTACAAGAACACTGAACAAAATGTTGAGTCCACAAATTCAATATCTCTACCTGCTGTGAAGACGAACAATTCGTTGGGCTTTTCTAATCAATCGCAGCCTCCCCTCCCCCTTCTCCATTAAGCGGGACTTGCACCAATTTTAGGAAGTGTAAAAATAACAAGTTGGTTACACATTGTTGCCAATGGGAACGTAAAATGTTCAGCTAATGGCAATGTGCAGTCACCAGTGCAGCCTTGTTCACGGTATTCCCATGCCAATGGTTTTATGACTAACTTGCATTTCACTCCAGACGCATGAGAAGATGGGTCAATACGGTAATAACGGTGGTTCGATTTATCACTTAATAATAATGATATCTGCATTGGCAGCGGTGCATGAGCACAAAAAACAAACTCAATACAATCATCAATGAAACTGCCCCTAAAGGGATTTTTTTAATATACATCTATAAATAATAGGTCTAAACCTCCGAGCCCTTGATCCCTCTTATTATGAAGACGAAGGACCACTGCCAATAACCTTGCTTATTTTATATATTTGTCCACTTTAAGGCAGTCGTCACTGACGAAAGTGTTAAGTTGTTATCAATGAAGAATCATTCTTAAAAAGCTCGCCATGCATGCAGTGAATGGTGCATGTAAGAATCAATGTTTTTATAAATTAGTATATATTGCTGCATGTAATGGGTTCGTGTAACCCCTACCAATGTCAAAAGACCGCGACATTCACCACCGTGCAGTGTTAAGAAAATAATGTCCGGCTGATAAATTTTGTGATGAGAATTGTCCTTCAACTTACCCGCGGTGAGCTGAAACAACAA